TTACAGCTGAGACCGTGGGAAAGATGCCATGACCGTTCAAGATGCGAATATACCAAGGCACGCTTTCAACAACTTGCAGCCACAACTGCCAAATGGAAAACGTTCAAGTGTAATGTTTACATACAAAGCCTAGCCAAGATGCTTTATAACAAATTTTTTTTTTTCGAGATATGCACGTGTATTTCCAAAACGCACATCAAAAGCCGCATGCAACCGGCGAAGTCAAACCGTCAACAATTAAAAGGTTATATGTAACCGCTCATCTCAATTTTTTCCCCATTCCAGATGCGACTGCAATATTTGGGTATATCTGATTACAGGTAGAAGTATATACTAGGAATCTGAGTTCAGGTTTTCGGGCACTTGCGAATTAAACTGCAGCAGAGATTTAATTAAATGTATTTCCTCCTTGTAAACAGAAACGTTAATTCTGGTTGTGTGTCTCCAAAACAGTTGACTCCTACTCGAAGTTCTTGTAACAGTGATGATTCAGGAAACTCTGCGCTACTCAGATTCTAAATCATAATCATCTACGAAAAGACAACACTTTATCAATCTCCTGCACTGTTTATTTACTGTCCTTTCGATGTAAGTAATAACTGAAGAGGTTCACTGTACAGAAAATTTACATTAGAAACAAGACTAATCTAAGATTTTTACAGTAATCTATATCAAAATTCACTTGTAACAAAGGTTTATTATATTCAGTTTATTTAAATTTTTTTATGTCTGACTTACAAATTGAACTTAGCCGATGAGAATCAGAAATTTATCTGGAGTGTTACCACACCACGTCCCAATTCGACAAACCCGAAATATCAAGTGGTTTCAAACATGCTTTTTTTTAAAAAGCGTCATGTCCCTTATTAAAGAAAGCCAATCAAAAGTGTCATATTAGAAAAAAAAAACTCATTTCATTCGAACAGAACAATATGCATGGTGTTGATGGATATATAAAAACAAATATACATGAATAATATTAAGAGAAAAAACACAGCCTCTGTTTTTTTGTGTGTACAGGACAAATATAATGGAGGAACTGACAAGGGACTTGAGAATACTGTATATGTTGAGCTCCCTAATTTACTGTCCTTCACTGAATGTTATTACGACACTCAAATCAAAGGGGATGTGATGGATATGGCAAGTACCACTCACGGGAAAGTTGAGAAATACATATAATTTTGGTTGAAAAACACAGAGGAAAGAGGCCATTTGTAAAGCATTTTGTAAAAGCCATTTCAATTATTAAAATACAACGTTGTATCAGTAACAGTTGATCTACATAATTTGGCTTTTAATGAGTTAGAACAATTATTGGGCAATATACGTGTAGTAGCCCAGCTGAACCATCAGCAAGACTGCTCTGTTCACCACCCCATCCTGACTGGCTCTGAGGCCCACAAAGTTCCCATCTAATGGACACCAGAGGCTCCAGGGATAAAGCAGCAAGAGTAGGAAGGTGACCACTCACCTCCACCTACCATAAGTGTAAAGAAAGCATGGAACTCATTTTACACTCCATGGTGGAATGCTTTTTTTTTTCTTGGCACTACAGCCCCAGTGGGCCTAGGCCTACCTCCATGAACTTCTCCGTTCACTTCGGTTTTTCTAGATCTTACACATTCAGTAGGACTCCTTGGGCGGGTGATCAGCTCGTCACAAGGCCTCTACCTGTACACAAACACAGAAAAATGCACACACACAAACTAAACAGGCCTGAGTGGGATTCGAGCCCATGATCCCGGTCTCCAAGCGAGCGAAGACAGTACAGGCCTTAGACCGCTCGGCTACCGTGACCGGCTGGTGCAATGCTTAGGCACATGAATAGTATCTTTACAAGTTATGATCTTATAATTTCCTGATTTTTGCCTGTATGATCAGAGTAAAAAAAAAATCTGTTTTGAGGTTCAAGCACCCCTAGGGTCGAATTTTGTTTCTCCCAACATTAGGGCAATGATCAAGAATGACAATGGCTAGCAAAGGGAACACAATGCTTAACATGAATGGACTGTACACAAGTAGGCTATACAACACCATCCTTTTACAACCGCGAAATGCAAAAGCATGATATGATCAGTACACTGAATCCTAAGATACACAAAGGGCAAAGACTCTTTTCTTGGCAATCCTCCACATCAAAATTGGAACAGAGCTTTTTACTAACCAGTCCTAGGGTTTTGACCTACATGTCTCTGCTGCATTAGTAGTGCTCACAAATGAAGCTGACTGCTGACACAGCTGACTGGTCACTGACCTCTCCCAGTCTCTCAGAGCGTGTTTCTAGTTTGTTTACCAGTTTACTTTTTGACACTTGTCAACTACATAGATTAATGACAATATATGAAACTTGAGGCCCTCAGCGTAATGACAACAAATATTACTGTCTTCTGGGATGTGATGCAAAGTAGTCTGGTAGATGTTTACCGATGTTTCGGAGGAACGTGCTGCCTCCATCTCCAAGGCACAAGAGTAGTGATCACAAACAAACAGGTTGAACAAATTTGTACCTATAAAGATTTTACTATAGTTTTCTCTTAAAAACATTATAATTTACCTAAATACTTTCATGGGTATAACAATCAATTAGGATACTGAAAGTACTTCAACCTAGCTGAATCACAGACTTTATTGATGTCTATGATTAGCCAACATACTGGACCATTGTCCTTCCATTTAATCTCCACTACATAAAAAATTAAGAAAATCTGGTCACTAATTGATCTACTACATTGAAATCCATGCCAGTAACACACAACTTTAATAAGGCTTCAACTCTGTGAGAAGATAATAGGGTGGTATGATGGCTGAACGCCGGGATAGCAACAATAAAGTAACTGTTGGAAACGATGTTTTTTTTTATGCAGTACCTGCCAAGGCTGCATGAGTAGACCAGCAGCAGCATTAGTTCAGAGTAGTATATGGTTGTGGGTCTCATGGAACTCAGAATCAAGAATCACTGTGCTCGCAATGGCCTGCAGCAATTTAGCAGTCAGTCAGCCATCAGTTCAGTAAGCACTGCATCACTCCTAAAGTTGTGAGACAATATGATATGGTCATGTGTCCCGTGGAAATCAGAACCAAAGATGGATGTGCTGGTGGGGCCAGCAGCAATTAACCAAACAGACCAGACAGACATCAGTTCAGATGAATCTCGAGTTGTACTGTTATCAGCCGCTACCTACCAAGAACTAGTGATGACAGAACAAACAGAAGATTTGATGTGGGCTGTAGTAGTGATCTACAAAGTGTGTAAATTAGTGAAACTGTTATAGTTATTTGTAGTTATGAGTTATGAGCGTTCAATAAATTTAATTATCAATCCAAACCCTATATTTGGTCATTAATATGTGACAACTGGTGTCAGAAGTGGGAATGGATTATACTGTTCGACTTATTTGACTGGAATCAATGTGACAAACAATTGTGGTGGACTTGGAATGTCTGGTAGCCATCCTAGAAGGGCTGGAAAACAAGATAGAGGAAAACCGAGATGAAATGAAAGCCACCCAAGAAAATACTGTGGCATCTAAACCTGCTGCTGGACAGAGAACTCAAAATAGAGGAGTACAGCCGTTGTTATGAAATAGACAGATAAACAAACAGCCATTTCTGAGCAACGGCTTGGTAAACACATTCACGAGGACATGATATCCAGACTATCGCTAGATAACATCCCATGACAAGAACAGAAGAACTGCTGAAAGCGGTGTTTTTCGTTGGGTTCACCCCGAGGCTATATAGCGAGGACCACAGGCTGGCTGAGGAGTCAGTTGAGGGTTGGTAGTTGAGTCGAGCTCTGCAAGGGAAGCTGAGAAGAGTTGAGTTGAAGGTTCAATGGTGATTGAAAAAGAAATGGCCAGAAGACTTAATAGTGATTTGAAGTGTTGTGTTGAGATCTGTTGCTAGGAGACAATTGGTGGAAACTGAGAATCCTAGTGCGTGTGCAACGGTGAACTGTAATCTGTGTAAATCAGTGATAGCACTATATTAATCACGCTTATGAGATACTTTACCCAAAGTGCCAATAAATCCAATCATCTGAACAAAAGCCCGTTAATATCGTCATGTGTACCCTCCTACACGTGACAATATGTATATCAACTGAGAGATCTTTATAGGAGAACACTTTCAATGTGAAAATAAATGCAAAGAATGAAAACGTACACAATTCAAATGGAGATATTTCAAATCTGAGGCAGGAACTGAATTCTTCATATTGTTGAAAATATATATACAGGCATCTGCAGCAGCAGTGACATACTTTGAGTAGCGCAATAAACCCAGAATTTTATAAATTTTGGTGACAAATGATAGATTAACCTTTTTTATAGAACTCCCTTTCTAAGATAACAGGAAATTTAATGGTCACTCTTATCCGATTTAATTGGTTTAATGACAACTGAAAAATATTGTACAAAATATGAACATTATTTGTTTGTCCATAGAACTTATATACATACAAGTTACAGGTTCCACAGCTGGCATCAACACACCATAAAGAGCAGTAAAACCTATTAATTTAATAAAAAAAATGGTGGAATATTTCTTGATGTCAGCAACACTGGTGACAGCAAGACAGCAATATAGCTGACAAAGATGAATCCAATTCTCATTGTTTCTGACAATCACAGAAAAAAAAATCCAGTATGTTTTGGAAACAAGTCAAGAAAAAAATTATACCTCAAATAAACAGCTTTGAGTATACAAATACTTCCTCCTCTTGCTACTAATTTAATGTGGTGGGGGCTTCAAATGTCCTCATCACCTATAGAGCTATGCTACAAGGAGCATAAGCTCCTGGTAGAATCACCCATATTGGACAGGAGACACAAAAGGTTGCCCCTAGTGAACCAGACTGGGGGCTGGGTGTGAGGCTAACAACCTCACCTCATAAAATATGTTAATACATCTAGTGATGGTTGCCAGATATGAGAATAGGCATGCAACAAAGGAGAGGACTGTTGAGTTAAGGAATAAGTAAGTGTATAAATACTTACCCATTATCGATTTTTCTTCTTTCACTTCATTTTTTATACGAGGTGCAGGTGGTGGAACCAACTTTCGTCTCTTTGTCATTATAGATGAATCAAGTGACTCCTGAAACAAAGTCAAAAAATCCTAAACATATTATTCTAGAAGTATCTGAATAATCTGCTGCCCACCATTCAACCAGTATTCAACACTCTCATTAGCTCCCCTAATATCTAAGGCAGACCAGTCAGCATACTATAAAAAAATCTGGTTTTCACCTGAAGTTTAAACAGACCCAGAACTAACAAAACACAAAACAAGTTCAGTCTCAGTCCATACTTGCCTAACACAACTTGCTACTTCATTATAGATATACCAAATTCTCAATAAAAATGTTCACCAGTTGAGATACACAATGTTTCAATGCTGCTACAAATGTCTTTACATACATGCACATGTGCACCCACGCTCCCCACATGTGCATACACATATTAAAAATAAGTAATAAAATCTGCAGAAAAACTGTGCAGTATAAATTAATGGATTTCTCTCATTCCCTTCAAAGTGAATTCACAACTACTAAATTAAACAAACGTCCTTCTTTTAAATTTCAGCAACATAATAAATTAAATCAAAGCAACCCAAAGACAAAGCAAGAACTATGAACATTACCATCTTCTGGCATGTCCCTGAACACGGGGGCAGCACATTCCTCCAAAACATTAGTAACAATCTACCAGACTACATGGCATCACATCCCAGGAGTCACTTCAGAGTAACCTAATATCTCAGTGAATTTAGATTTATTGGAGAAATATGAAACTGTGTCCACTCCCTACCAAAAAAAGGCACTCTTCAGAACTAGTGCAACTATATCAAATCACTATAACATCAAAACCACTCCACAATGATACAAATTTATTTTCACAGTGTAATGTTAAAGTTAAAATACTCCCTAAGAGTAGTATTTTATTGGGTCATGAAAAATAACCTCCAGTCTGCTATTCTCATGTCAAGGCAAACAACAATAAAACCTGCAATGAATCTCACAAGGTCCAGATCAATAATTCTACAAGTACTTCTGAATGAGTTGTTTTGTTATTATTATTTTGGTCACTGTATGATGTAGACTCTTAAGAGTGACACACAGTCAAGATCTGTCTTTAACAACCCTCACGGTTCAGCAAACATTGCCTAGACAGCAATATTGGTACGGATTTAAGTCATATCAAAGTGAGTACACTTTGCATGAAATATCTTTATAGGTATGTCATACCTTGGAGTAGTCAACCTTGTGGAAGAAAAGTCCTGTGTGTTCAATGAGGTTTTTGGGATGGAGACTTTGGCATCCATTGTATGTTAAAAACAGAATCTAATGACTTCTTAATTATGATGTAATGATCTATGTCATTACTTGATGAATATGCATTCTAAAAAAAAACTAGTCACATACTTTTTTCTGTTCAAAGACAAACTAATCCGCAAAATACTTTCATGGGATGGGCAAAAGATACATTCCCCACACACTTCTCACTGCATTTAGCAACTAATGAAACTGCAACCACAAATCAACTAATTGAAATTACTTACTTTACAGAAACAGAATTAAATATGATTCCGATTCCTGGCAACCATGGCAGGATGCAAGTTATATATGCTGGGCATATAAGAATTAGGTGACTTCACATTCATAAACAAATTCTTGGTAAGTGGAATTTTTTCTTAAATAAATACTTCTATTCCTTCACATTCTTCACTTCCATGCACCCTACGACATTTTATGTGTTTAGAGAACGTATGGTGCGTAACAATTGCGTTGAGTTACCCGCCCACGACCAATATGTCACTGAAATGTATAATTATATAAAACTTTGTAATCTTACCTATTCGAAATTCTTTATATATGTGTTTGTGTCCTGAAATTAAATATCGGTAATTACCGTGAATAGATAATAACTATTCGGTTGATAAACAATAATCACTTGATTAAAAAACCCCAATCACAACTTCGTTACTTCAATATATTTACATTAACACCATATCCACGGATCACAACTACAAGAGCGTACACACGTATAGATATGTCACTCAACGACATTTGTGGGCAGCAAATAAAGCGGAAAGCTGTGCTAGACATGCACACAATTTCCGGGGCCGTTACTAGTACCAAGTACACACAGATCACTCCAATTAATAACGAAAGATGTCGCACAGTCGCCAAACTGGTCGGAATGGTCGGAAACATGGACGGCATGACGTCACGCATCTAGTACCAAGCGCTCTGTCGGTAAGAAGGTTGACTGCAATGTAACTTCCATAGAAAACAGCGTTGAGAAAACATAGAACATTAATGCCGCAAATAATACAAAAATAACTATTTGTGGGAACCACCCACGGTGACTCAAGCGCTAGCCATGCTAAGCAACAGCTGGGTAAACAGCCGATGCTAGGTAAATCCCGTGTGAAGGCAGGGTCGAATACCTCCACCATAGCCCTGCAAGTCATAAGAGGCGATGAAAAGGGTAAGCCTCGAATCAGAGACAGTAAAATATGGTCGCAAATCCCATAGGACTCTGACCCAAGAATGACTGCGCTGGCGAGGTCCAGCAGCAATTGTAAACAACAGACCCATGCTCTCATCAGAAAGAGCGCCACATCAACAAACCTGCAACTGTTTGACAGTAATAAGAATCAGGTTGTGAGCACCAGATGGGTGTTTTATTCCAAGACAGACTGGCTGGCTCACCATCGGTCATAACATAAATTTGACTATAATTCTGAAATATTTAGCGTGTCTGATGCTTATTAGTACAAGCAGTAGTATTGTTGTTATATTATCAGTCTTCAGCCAGCAACCTTCAATTCTTCAAGTTCATCTGCCCCTTATATCCATTGGACAGGAGGTTGGGTGGGCCCAGAGTCGGTCTTGACACACACAAGTGATCATACGCATGCACAAGGTTATTGGATCATTTCTCTCTGAGCGAAGATTCAGAGTTTCTGTCGAAGGCGAAATGTCCATGCCTAGAGAAATACACTCAGGGGTGCATCAGTGTTTTGTCCTGCCCTCAACATTGTGTAGTACTGTATTTATATAAATGATACCCCCAGACAGTAGGTATTCATCTGGCCTTATCTGTTGATGACATTTGCATGTGTGTCAGAGAAAGAAAAGAAAGCAATGTCTTCAGAAAACTGCAGCGTGGTCTCAGTTCAGTTTAGATGTGGTCTTAGTGCTGTAACATTAAGATCACTGAAGACACGGCTCAGGCCATTTATTTTCTCATAGAATTAGATTACCTGAGGCTCACCTCATGTTGAGCAGATGGATCATCCCCTTCTTGAATCATGTAAAATACCTTGGTGTGATCTTAGATAAGAGAATTACACAGGGAGGGATTGCATATAGAAATGATCGAAGTAAGACCTTCAGAACATTTATTAGAACCTATTCCTCATTCAAAGCTAGTGATTAAGCACTAACATTAAACTAACCCTCTATGAAGCATTATTTAATTCAGTAATATGTAATGCCAGCCTCACCTTTGCATTTGCAACAGATACCCAACTTCTGAAATTGCAGAGCTTGTAAAACAAGGTTCTCGACACTACTGGTTAATTTCCAAGTTGCACACTGGTCTACAAGGTGCACATGGCATTCCAAGTACTCTATATTTATGATCACATAAAGAAATTGTGCAGGCATCAAGCAGAGGTCATGCAACACCACGAAAATCAAATGCTTGCAACATTGGGAAATGTGAAGCCCAACACAAAAAATATAAGATGTTTTAACTTGGCAGTGGTCAAGCGTACAGCTGTTCAAGGGACCAGGCAGCCATTGTAACATGAACTACATGAGTTAGGGCATAAGCTTCTATACGAAACCTTTTATATATTGTACATACATATAAACTAGAGTTACACGCAAAAGTGTAAATAGCATGTAGCCACAAGTAACTGAACACTTAACAACTGGCCGACTATGTAGAATGCCTACTTGTAAATCTGTAAATGTAGATGATACGAGTATGTATTACTGACTATGATTGTGCTGAATGACAGACTCGATCTCTCATCAGAGAGTGTGCCCCACATTGACGAAACTGCAACTGTCTGACAGTATAAAAAATCTGGCCTTGGGCCCAAGATGGGGGCTTGATAAAAAAAACTGACTGGTCGACTGAACATCAGTCATAATGTGACTTTGACTAACTTAGTTTCTGTCGTTAGTTGCAGTTAGTTCATTATTCTCTCCCCCTTCTCACATTCTCCAGAAAAGTCCAAGGTACAAGCGAGAGGCTACAACACTGTGTTTCTGGAACATGGCAGAATAGTAGAGAAACCTCCAGGGGCATGCTAACATGCTGCACCCCGCCCACAACACTCAAACTGCGAATCAGTTACTTATATGTTAATAACCCATACTTTTTTCAGAAATGTCGAAGTATTATACCAGTAACGTATGCCTTCAGGATGGAAATCTGGGAACAATATCAGGTGCTTCATCTACAAGAGATGGGAAAGAACCCACTGTACCAGCTTGGATCCCAGAATCAAGGAACAGTACAGACATACTAATTAAACCTCTAAAACCTAGATTGTTTCCACAGGTAGGTAAAAGAAATAAACATTAATTCTTCACATATGCTGGTATTTTCTTGGTGTTGCTGGAGCATACAGACAATCTTGCAATATCCCAGTGACTATCTTGTACTGTCTCATTGTAAAGATAGGCAACTTAACTTTCTCATGCCTAGAACACTGTCATAACTCTTTTGAAGCCAAGAACAAGACACATAATTTTGAAAAAGGCCTTGCTTCTCCATCAGGTATATCTGTTATTTAACACTGTCAGAAAAATGAACCTTCAACTATCATCTTCTGAAAATATTATTATTCACTATTTTATATGTAGTACCATAACAATAGTAGTAAAATCATTACTATGGAAACATTCAAGCAAAAGTAGTCATTTTAACCTACTTTCCTTCATTAAGTATGAAAAGACATGTGCTAATGAGATCAATCATCAGTGTGTGTGTGTGTGCACGTGCATGTGTTCATGCACATTAGAAATCATTGAAATGTCCTAATTTTTTATTTCCTACAATTAATAATAATAAGATGGTTGACAAACAAAGTTGTGAGGTGGGGGTGACACTAGTGACATTTAATCTAGGCTAATAAAACTACGAGCATGAAGGATTAAAATGTGCACCAATAATGTGAGAGGGATAAGGGATACATTTACTAAACTCATTTTGAATCTATTATTACATTTAAAAATATGATTATATGGACTATTTGTAATTGTAAATGCTCAGGAATGATTTTTCACCTTATATACTTTTATTCCTTTTAATTTATTTATTGTTCTTCCAAATATATGTAACTTTAAACTCATGGTCATATTGAACCAGACATCAACAAGTTTATCAGTCCATTATAACATTTTAAAAAGATTATGGCCATAAGGTGTACCTGTAGTTGTAAATCCTCAGATGTGATTACTCACTCTGCATTTTTACTCCTTATACTTTACTTACGCTTTCTCCAAACCATTAACTTTCATTCATATTGAACCAGCCCTTAATAAGTTAATTAACATTTTGAAATACCTCTCTTTAGAAGTACACATTTTCACTTTCTTGCATCACACGTGCACTATTCTTCTTTCTTTGCTATGCAATTTGTTAACATTTAGTGAATTGTTTTAGTTGATGGCAGCTCTGCTCACCTGCTGGGTGAATCTTGCCAGTGGTGCTAGCCTTGGTTATGCAACCCCTGCCCTCCCATCGTTACAGCATCCAAACTCAAGATTACACATTACAGAGAGTCAGGGATCATGGGTAGCTGGCCTGGTGATGCTGGGAGCACTGGGTGGAGGAATGCTGACAGGACCATGTATTTCCCTGGGTCGTCGGCGTGCACTGTGGCTTATAGCAACACCACTTACATTTGCATGGGTGCTCATAGCACTTGCTCAAAATGTGTGGTTCCTGTATGTAGCCCACTTCATCTTGGGGACCTGTCTGGGCATCATTGCAGATGCATCTCAACTCTATGTGAGCGAAACAGCATCAGCACAATGGCGTGGAGCACTTGGTTGCATTCCAGCCCTTATGTTCAATGTAGGAATTCTCACATGTTACACTGCAGGGGCGTGGCTTGACTGGGAGGAACTGGCTTTCTTTGGTGGTGGACTCACACTGCCAGCACTATTGTTCCCAATTATACTGCCTGAGTCTCCAAGCTATTTGGTGGCACAGGAAAACATGAAAGAGGCAATTGCCGCTCTCCACTGGCTGCGTGGTGCCACATACGATATAACTGCTGAATATCAGGTTAGACATTATGTCACAACTAAAGCATATTTCAGTATACATTCACTACTGACATACAAAATCATGCATTATTTTAAAATTGTGTGTATTTGTGTGTGTGTGTTCACACACACGTGTATGCGTGCGTGCATGTATTGGGTTCATTTTTTCATATTTCATTGTGTTTTTCATTTTCATAGTTGCTAGTTATACGTATTACAATACAGAAAAAAATTGAAATATTAATAGTACTTTTGAATTAATTCCAAGGGCTCTTTCCCTGGGGATAAAGTTGTTGGGACATGAAGCTGGCCATTCACATTCATCTAGTGCCAAGATCAAGAATGGAAATGCCATGCCTCTGCTCATCCATATGTTTCCATGGTGTGGAGCATAATTAATTAAGCACAGGGACAACTTAACCTTATGAATGAGTATTATATTGTGTTGTATAGACCTGGTTGTAGGCAACAACTGCAAAGTGAGTCAGTTGAAGCACTGAGAGAGTTATAAAGGAGTCTGTGATGAGACAACTTAGTTGGTGCAGTTAGCACAGGAGCTGAAAAATTTCCGCTGCTAAAATCCATTACCAGGAAATGTCTAATGAAGAAAATGAAGGCTTTATATGTGCTGTAGTTACAGTGATATTTGGAGTGTGTAATTCCATGAGACTGTTATAATTATTTATAGTTATGAGTTGTGTGGGTATGTGGTCAATAAATCCAATACTCAACCTAAATCCCTGTCAACAGTCACATTCATACATGTGGCAATATATTAATTTTGGCATACAAATCAAAAAGTAATGTTAAATATGACCATTCAGTTGCAACAGAATAAAGAAATATGAAAAATACTGAGGCAGCAACAAACTGACAAAGAAAGAGCAGCATAAGTCAATGGGATGACAAAAGCATGCCCAAAGAGACCTAACTGCTATTATCACACTTCATGACCTATTGTTAAATTTGTATAAATGGACTCAAATTCAAAATACTGTGACAACTTGGGTTCACATCACAGCGTGCCAGTTGAATAGCACCATGTTAAAGTAACCTATTGTAGGGGATGAGGGAATGAAAGACTCAAACTTCATTAGAATATTTGGCAATGGAATCACGTTACTCTTACCATCTGCAATAAAACTGAGCAAAAAATCTCATCATAGCCTATTCATCCCTCCTATGACCATCAATTACTATTATGAAGTTTTATTCATTTCTAATTCACCTGCCACCAACTACATGGAAGCTCTTCTGTATTCTTACTCCCATGCAAATTTCAAGAATTAAGAAATTTAAAGAAAACTAATTTTTCTACTAGGAGCTTATCATTTTCTCCACAGTCTCTATTTTGTAAGGCATAAGGTTAGGAACATTCACCCCTGGGATATGGTCATGTTACTCTATCAGGAGGAAATATTACAAAAACATTTGTTAACACATGCTGTCTCAGCTAACAATTGAAATTTTGAATTATATATCAAATCAGACTCACTATACTCAACATTGCTGGACTCATATTATGTCCTGACTACAAAGGATGACAATTACTCTGTACTATAAACCTTGGATGTTTCACACCTTCTTTAGCTTCAGTCTGCTTTCTTATCTTTCTCTCTCTCTTCTTCTAAAAAAAAAAGTAGCGCTATCCCCGTACCAGGCAGTGAAGGCCCATAGGGTTGTGAGACGTTGAGGTTTCCACATTATCTAGGCAATCGGCTCAAATATGGTGGTAAGGTTGTCAACCCTACGTGCCGGCCGCGCTTTACTCCCCAGGAAAATTATTTAATTAATTCCTGGTACTCATTTCTGTTAGAGACTGAGTAAAACCCAGGGCCTAGTGCGGCTGGAAGGATTAGGTCAACTGAAAAAAATCCAATGACCTCATCGGGATTTGAACACGCAACCTTCCGGCTTGTAGCATAGCTCCTCAACCACTACGCTATCATGTGCCCCCATCTCTCTTCTTCTGCATTTAGAAATCATTAGTGAACTAAATTAACTCTCCATGATGCAGATAAATACACCTCATAAAGCCCTACTTCAGGCCAGTCAGTATGTCTCTCTCACCCAAAAGGTGGTGTAAAGGCAACCTTCATCTCCTCCATTGACATCAAGACAAAACCCAAAGATATGGCAGACAGACTCCAAGTCTACCCCAGGACTCTTAGTTGGCAAGTTTGCTGTTCAAAAAGTCGTTCTGATCTCCAACAGTTCATTTATTAATACATCCTTCAAAACCTCCCTCAAGACATCAACCATCATGAGTGTGTGTGTGTGTGTGTATACATGCCTTCTCATTACTGGTTATTGCTTATTATATTACATTCTTTTTCTGGTCTGAGCAATAGTTACTATAGTTAGTGCCTTGTAACTGTAGCTGCACAGAAAGGTAAACGCTGTTGTGGAGCACGCAAAGCTGTACGCTTGCTGTGGTGACGTTCAGAGCTACTCCCCGAGCAGAAAACATTGCCTACGGAGACCAACTAACAAGCAACACAACGTACTATACACCTGACCACACTCCAAGACGCTGCATTCCACAAACTGGTAGTACCCATGCTGACGTAAGCTGATAAGACTGCCCCCCCCCCAGCTCCGCGAGAGATTGGTTAGCATTCTGAGGAACTAACACTACTGATGTTTCAACTAAAATCAAATTTCTATATGCACTAATGGTGTCCAACAAGCAAGGTAATCATACTATGTATGCCATCTGTTTTAGCATTAAGAAGTCTGCATTTTGTCCGGATTGTATTTGTGGGTTTCATAAGTGTCTCAGAATAAATAGCAATTACTTCCCTGAACAACATTAATTGATGGAGAGACAGTCTGTTTTCTGTAGGGTAAAAACAGAGCTTGAAATATATTATTTAGACCAATTTTGGGCTTTAAAATGTTAAATAAATGGTGTATACGGATTTGGACTGGATTCATCTGGCTCAGGATAAGATCGACTGGCAGGCCACTGTTAACATGTTGTAAATAATGAAACTTTAGGTTTCATAAAAAGCATATATGATAACTTTTGAACATCTACTCATTGAGTTGATATCAGCTACCTGGATGGCTCTGAAATGTTAATGGATACAATTTGACACATTTTATATAATGGACAACAGATGCAATATACAGTCCCTATAAGAAGGCTCTGTGATAATTTGGATGTCACAGGTACATTAGCAAGAGATATGTGCTCGACTAAAGTAAACCACGTACAAAAGAACATGTCAATACATAATAACATACATACACGTAAATACATAATTACATACATACACACATACATAGGAGAAAATTTTACAAAATCATAACAAACCTTACATTAACAATCACACATTATACATTACAGACCAAGGATGCCACATTATGAAAATAGCGTGAATAATGACAATGTGCAGAAATAACATATAAATACATTGGCATATGGGCTGATGCAGTGTGGCAATTTCAATCAATTAATGGTTGCCTGAGGATGGCTTTGTAGGGCCAAAACATGTTGCAACAATTAAATTAAAAAATGTGATTTTAATGACATTTTATAAATTTCAAACATGACTCTAAATGACATTTTAAAATAATAGGTTGTGTTGCATTATAGATGGAAGCAAGTGGATGAGTGATACAATACATTAGATAAGGTAAAATAAAATGTAGCCTCTGCGAGTTAAACAGCCTAGGAGCAAACAGCAATATACAATGTTACTTATGAAAGTATACTGGAAACAATGTTCAAACTGTAAACTCTTTTGTTCAGGAGTTGTTGCACTGTGAGAAAGGTCCTGGGGTGCTGGAAAGACTGCAGGGTCTCTGCGACCATGAAGCCTTTCTTCCACTGTTTCTGACTGGTGCCATCCGTGCTCTTAGCAGGTTTTGTGGGCTGCGTGCTATTCTCTGCTATACACAAACCATTCTCCTCAGCTCTCACTCTAGTCTTGATGTTGAAGTTGCAACAGTTATCACTGGAGCTGTGCAGCTTATTGCAACATTGGTAGCATGTGGGCTGCTCGATAGACTTGGCAGGCGCAAACTCTTAATAGCATCTCAGGTATGTTATTTGTGGACCTAGCCAATATCATGTGTCTGCAGCTCAATTTAATTATTTATTTGCAGTTAACTTAATGATGCTGTCAGTAGTTCAGAATACACAGTGTCAAATGGTGAGACGATCAGTGAATAATGAATTGGAATGGATGTGAGAGGAAGCAGTTACAGTCTAATTTGAGGTCCTATTTCAATATATTTCCATATTTACCTAGAGGGACCGAGGAAAACCACAAATTTCATCATCCATGAAGCAGGTCTCTGGGCTAAGTTTTGCTGCTCAATGATGGGCAATAAGATTGTCTTCTTTGACACATCCAGAATGTCTTAGGGACCAACCTAGTCTCCCACCTAACGAGTGCCAGAGGCTCTTTTCATGGAAACAAAGGCAGTCAGATCATGAAGTTGGTCACTTTTCTCAATGTAGTGCTGAGTTTTATATCCATTTTCCTTAAAAGCATTCATGACATGAATGCTATGCACAAGAACAACTTTTACCTTTCTTGTAAGATTTGAAGTTTTCATGGTGATGACAATGAAGAATACCATCTTCTGGGATGTGGCACTGTGTAGATCTTGTGTGAACCGATGTTTCAAAGGAACGTCTCGTCTCCATTTTCAGGGTAGAAAAATCTGCGAGCAAGGAACCAGCTTGAGCAGGTGGATGCAGTCAGTTCACACAAGATCTATGAGGTGCCACATCCCAGAATACTGAATTCTTTTACCTTTCTTTTTTCTTACAGTTATAGGTGATGTGAAGTGATATTTAAGATTGCTGAAACTTAAGAAGATTGTAAACTAAAGTAACATGTACTGACACTGGACCACACTATCCAATGAACTAGTTTACAGCAAAAGACATTCTGCTAATTTATTATCATAGCCTTATTCTAATACTTTTTCTGTTCTTAAATGATTGTTTGTCAACAACATTGAAGAGTGATTCATTCTTAGGCTATTTAGTAATCCTAGTTTAACTAGCCAGGTTCTATAATGTCAAGTATCATAAGACTGAATGATAAGAAGGTATAGATCTGTAAAGCCACAGCCAATTTCAAAGTAGAAACCTAGCATTCACCTGTAGATTAAGAGTATTCAGTCAAGACTGCTGAGATTTGAAAAGAGCACAGTCCAAATATAAGTTCTGAGTGACACAATACAATCTGTTCTGGTATACAACAAATGGTACAAGTATGAATGTTATGCTGCAATAGGACAAGGCAACAGGTTTTCATAGAGTGTGCATCACCCATACTGATTAGTGTCGTAAAACCTAGCCAGAGAAATTAAATAATACTGCAAGCTATATGAAAGTGAAATGAGAGCTGATTCAATACTACCAAGTGCCATTTGATTCAGACCTGAAGTTGATCTTTTATGACCAAAATACAAAAACTAAACCAATAAATAATGCCTCAGTAGGTCTTAACAGCCATGGTGAATGGACTATTTTCAAACCAATAAACCATCTGTACCACTGTGTCTAACTGCAAGGATGGATTTCTGAAAGATAATGCTTTCAAGTCTTCAACTCATTTATAGTTTGCACTATATATTTTCTGTTGCAGGCTATAATGGGACTGTCACTGGTAGGTCTTGCCTGTTACCACTATTACCATGAAGATCTCAGAAATACTCATGGAACTCTCGTTGGTTGGCTTCCTGTTGTGGCTATTATGGTGTACATTATAGCAAATTCAATTGGGCTGGCTCCAGTCTCTGGAATACTCATCGGTGAACTGGTGCCTCAGCGACACAGAAGTATTGCAAGTTCAATCACCGGTGCAATCAGCTGGCTCAGTGCTTTCATAGTCACAAAAACCTTCCTGGATTTAAGGTCAATTCTCAATCTTCATGGTACACTGTGGCTTTATGGAAGCATCTGCCTAACTGGCATACCATTTGTATACTTCTTTCTCCCAGAGACTCGTGGTATCTCACAGTATGGCATTGAGGTACTTTTTAAAGCAACCAAGGATCATAGTAATAAGATAACTGAAACCAAAATGGGTCAAAGTAAGTGCCTAATGGTTTTGCATGTGCATACTGAGAAAGCAAGCATCTGCGATGAATGCTTAACACAGAGCAGTGAAATCAGCAGTCCAGATAATATTTCGGTGTGATATCTTCAATTCCATTCTTCTTAATATGTAACCGGTGACATTCCATAGCAAACTGTTTTGCTATCCTTGTTTCAGATAATGTAATCACAAAGTGAATACCTGTGTCAGTGAGTGATAAAGTGAATAAATATGACTGTTGACAGAAGAAACTAATACCCTTTTTAAGCCATGACCCAGGTGAATTGTTTTATATATATGCATATATATTTTCATGTATCATATTGAACTTTGATGCAAACTAAATCCTCATCTTATGAAAGTGATGTGTTACTTGAAAGGTGTTCATTTAGAGGGTTTGACTTGGATACATTTGTAATGTACTGTGTTCCCATAAATCAAATTGTGCTCAGACATACAATAAAATTGTTGTCTTTCATTTTTGTAAGTGAATCATTAAACAAAAATTAATTTCCTATTAATTTAAATGAAATAATTACAGAAATAGGGGTTTGAGATAATACTGTGGCATATAGACCTGTTCCTAAGCAGCGACTCTGTAAACAGCGGCCATTCCTAGGTAATGCCCGCAACATTCATCCATGCAACAATAGAACAACTGGGTTATGCAACCCATTTCTAAGCACTGGATTGGTAAACATGCCTGTAACGATAGGGGTATTGTTGGAAACGGTGTTTCCTATTCAGTCCGCACAGTGGCTATAAAGAAGACTTGAGGTGAGAATCAACAGTCAAGTTCCAGAGTTCCAAGTGAGCTGTTAGTTGAGAGCTGGGTTCCGCAAGGGAGACTAAGATGATAGTACTAGGAGTTCAGGCATGGAGTGTTAACCAGTGGGAAACGGTGTGACCACAGAAGCTGAAGAATATCCACTGTGTTATATCTATTGCCAGGAAACGACTAGTGGAGATAGTCAGTGTATGTCAGTGAACTGTAAAGTGTAGTTCCAAGTGGTGTATACAAATGGTCAATAAATCCTCTTCACCAATCCACACCCCATCTACAGTCACAAACTCCTAAATATGTGATACTATATGAATAATAGTGAGGAAGGTACATACATATTGTATTTATTTATGATGAGTATTAGAAATTCATGATGAAACAAAAAATATTTGAGATATACAGTAAAATTCCTATTTAGTGAATTTCTAGGGAATGGCTTTTCTAACGTTAAATAAGGGGTTTCACTAAATAGGGGTTATTTAAAAATTACTTTTAACTACTTACTACTTCTAATTCTAACTTCCTAACTAATTGTAAGCTTCATCCTCTTCATAAGTAACATTAAACAAAAGAAATACTACTGACAAAATTCAAAACTCAAACACATCATTTGTCAAAGATTACAGCTGAGAGTGATGATTAGTGGCAAAGAGGAAACATGAGTGCTGGTTGTTGTTTCAACCATGATTAAACTATATCAATGTATCAGCACAAAGAGAGACCATTGATTGCACTAAGTGTTGGTTATTTAAAAGGTAAAGCCATCCCTGCAGCGTGCCATGGAGGCCCATAGGGTTGCGAGACATCGAGGCTCTCACATTTTCAAGACAGTTGGTTCACAGATGGCGGTGAGGTCGTCACCCTTACATGTCAGTTGCCTTTAACCCCCATGAAGATTCCTGGTACACATTTTGTTAGAGGCTGAGTCAAACCCAGAGCCATAGTGCAGCTGGAAGGATTAGGTCAATTGAGAAATCCAAAACCTAATCAGGAATCAAACCCATAACCTTCCAGCTTGCAGTATAGTGCTTCAACTAACTTTGCTACTGCGTGCCCCCAAATATGGGTTATTTACTAAACAGAAATTCATTAAACATGGGGAAAAAATATATTGTTTGTATGGGACTTTGGCTGAAACCAAAGGAAATATTCACTAAATGTGGATTTCAGTGTACCACACAAAAACGGTTAATTTTATGAGAACAGTACACAACAAATTTAACAGTATAAAAGTGGTATTTACTGTGTCAGGAGTGGGAGGGGTGATCGACAAGATTAGCAATATGTATGTCATGTTGCAGCAAAAATGCATTATGCATACCAAGAAAGTGGTACTAATTTTTCAAATTTGTTAGTGTGCAAATTCAGTAATCAAATATTAACAAAATATACTCTATTTTACCTGTCTTCTTTCTGCCCATCTCTCATCCATTGTTTATTTTACCTTTATTTTATCTAATTTTTGTTATATATTTCCTTTTTTACTGACCTTCCTTTCTCCTATGTTTCTCAGTTTTTCCCTTTTGGCATCCACCCTGTGGTAACAGCCCTTTCCAGGGCCACTATTCTTATTGGTCTGCTACAGTTCTGGTCCCTTTCTATTCCCTACATCAGTATTATTTTTTCTGAACCTGGCTTACTTCTCTACCCTGAAAATGGAAGCAGCATGTTTCTCCAAAATGCTAGCACTTATCTACCAAACTATGCCGTGCTACAGCCCAGAAGGCTGTGATCTTAAGATTCTCACTGGCTTACAAAATTCAGAGAACTGCACCATTATCATTTTCATATTCTGTTATGTACAAAACATTTCTTCTTGCAAAATATATGTTTCTAATCCATCTCCATAGCAAACTACACATGCCTAGCCTCAACAGTTTTTCAGATATTGCTACAAAATGGAAAACTAAAACTAATATAGATTTTTTCAGGCTGTCACATCATCTAATTCGCATTGCATAAAATGATCACGATCATGAACAAGTTAACATATTCTCAAAAAATGTACAACAAAAAATGTCAAGGTCTTAACTGCACTAGTGCCTCTGCCACCGCAGGAGTTTGCATTTCTACAGTGTTGCTATTATCAATGGTAGGTAATTAAAATGCAAGAAAACACAATATACTCCAATGACATGACATACACACTAAGTTTTAAGAAAGCCTGTCAACTCTTTCAAAAGTTACTTGGGACAGACAAAGCTACATATGGACATGGTACCATATAAAAGAAGAAAAGTATAATAAGTATCAAATGTAAAAACTAATACATATATACGTACTGTAAATTCCACTGGATATAGATTTAAGCTGCATAGGTCTCTTCTGACAAGAAACACCTATCTTCGTCACTCATCTTCACGATCCTTTGCATTCATATAAATGAAAGTTGTTTCAACAACAAATACTGGAACAAATTCCTGTTACATAAGAAAAAATATCTGAATATAAAAACTGAAGTTACATGAGAATCCAAGGTACCATAAGCCGCACTTGAAAACTATTATGTTCCCGGACTACAGACATATAAAATTTAAAATTTCTAAATGTACACCAGCATTCTTATACCGTCTCTCATTTTATATGAACTTATGATAACAATGAGTACGGACCACTGGGGAGATCAGGGACAAGAATGAGAGACAAGCGACAGATAAGCTGGTCAAGCGAAGTGACTGGGAAAATACAAAAGACTTAGGAAAGCTCTGTCATAAAATGCTACACCTTGTACAAATGTCAATGGTTGATGACAAGGGATACAGTGTCAGTGTCTTAAGAAATGTTTATTTCAACAGTACTCATAATAACAATGGAAATGGGTAGTGAACAAAGAAATCCAGAATAGCAAACCGTCACTGGCCCCACAAATATATCAGTAATTCTAAGGACCTAATATTTATTTGTTCAATGTCAGCAATATTTCACAAGACCTGATTACACTACTCTAACTGCCATAATTTGTATTAAACCCGTAAGCAAATACAGGTACTCTTTCTTACATGAAATTAAAATAAACACATCTGTGTACATAAGTTTGAAAGCATTAGTTTTATTATAAGAGGTTAATTAATTCTGTCCAGTGTGACTGATGGGAGTTTTTTCTCCTTTTTAATATTTTATCCTTAACATGTTTCGGTCTTATAGATAGCCCATCTTCAGAATGATATCAATACAATTAGAAACCACTATTACAATATGTTTTGTGAATATTAATATATACATACAATGTTATCATAATACAAGTAATACAAAATCTAATGCTTTTAACAACTACATCGACTTGTACTAATGTGTTAAAATATTTATAAATTACAATATTTTTAAAAAGATTTTGTTAAAATTTTTAAACCAAATTTGTTCATGTACTTTTTATTTCTTCTCTTTGAAGGAAACCCCATCAGTCACACTGGACAGAATTAATTAACCTTTTATAATATTGTTAGTGTGATGGACCAGAATGAAACAAATCAGAAATTTCAGAAGTTATTTAAACATACTGGGACCAAATCCCCATATTATAAAGGTATTAAGAAAGGAAGCACATGTGAAATTAGATTTATAAATTATCTTTGTTATATGGAAATGTTTCAGATTATGATTTTATAATATAATGAACACAATTTCATTGACAAGCACATATGAGATAGAAATCCCTATGCAGTAAAAGCAACAATCTTACACTGTACATTATTTTTACATAGTATAAATAGATAGAAGAGTTATTTCAGTATACTGTGAATATCGTATAAATAGATCAGAACTTGTCAACTGATGTGTCAAAATGCAATGCAGGCCTTTCATTTCATGAAAAAGGACTGTGGGTCCCATGGTGAGGAAGTATTTCAATTTACCAGTACTTTTATTCTCTCCTTCAATGCCACATGTCATGGCTATGCATAACATTGCACCACTGACAATTCCATTTCTAGCTTCAGAAATATGCAAAGATGTGAGATGACACCTCACATTAATCACAGGGTGACAGAATGTCAACACAGCACCTTTACTTCATGTCACTTCTCTGTGAGTGAGAGCTGTAACACTTGTTCCAGCATTTCCTCTTCCTGTCTCCTCTGTTGTTCTTCCTCCTCACGTTCACGCTGTGAAAGGACTAAAGCCATCTGCAGATCATGATCAGATACTATCAGGCTATCAGGAGAATCAGCTTCCCCACCCTCAGGACTAGCACGAAGAGCAGAGGAGCCACTATCAGGGGAAGTGGTGAGGTTCTGCTGGTACAGGGCTAAGCTGGCCTGGATTGCCCTACAAAGCATAAAGAGGGTGTTTGTACATTTGTACTGGTTCAAAACAGGAATATTTTGTGAAGCAGACCTTGGACAACTTCTGTAAGTAAAAATGCCATAAGAAAATGTTGGATTTGAGGTTCTTAAACAATGACCTTGAAGGGAACATACTGCCTCAGTGTTCATGGTGAAAGAGTAAGTAAGCAAGCAAGCAACAGTAAGGTTTACTTCTTCCTGGTTTTATGCATGGCTTATTCTTCAACCCTAAAGATGGGGCCAATACAATACTCTGAAAAACTGGTGGACTTCTACTGGACTATGTGATGTTAAATCCCAGAAGATAGTACTTAGCGTGAAAAGAAAGGCTGGACAAATTAAGCATCAAGATGTAGGGGCATGCATTACAAATGATAACATGATTAATTTGAAACCTTTGAAAATGATGATGGAATAAATGATTATTGGGAATACCAAGGATAAGGTACACAAAAATCTATTCTTGCAAAGCTATTATAGTTACCATACTGTACAGTCAGAAATTACTTTTTCCTGTGTTCTATTAAAATATTCACCATACTGAAAGATGTTTAAAATCAGAGTTGCAGATTTTAATGATATGCAATTTGTATCATGTACACAGCTTTTCTACAATTAACATTTCTGAAAATAAAGAGCATAAAGTTCAATTAGAGCTTCATGTAAAGTACAGTTTAGACTGGAGCAATATGATCCTAATTAAATGTGGCATGATCATACGGGCATCAACACAACAAACTCCGTGATTTCAGTCTGCAAGCAAACTATAACGACCGAGCCATCAACACAACAAACTCCAAATAAATAAACCAATATTACTGCATTAACATTTGTTTATTATTCTATATTTGCTACATGTTTTGAACAAACTGGTTCATTATCAGGCAGTTTTCATAATACAACGCTTATTGCTGGGTTGTGTCCTCTAATAGTATTGATATAAATATAAACATTTTTTGTATGTCTTGTCATGTTACTAAATTGATGTTGTAATATTAGTCTTAAGGGTTAAAATGTTAAAATTAGCTGTTCATTATTAATTAGACTACACTGGAATTATCTTTTAAGTAGAGTGAGTGCCCATAGTTATTTGTCGTAGAGTAGAGGGCAGTTGGGTGTTTTGTATCTTGTGAGTCAGCATTGTTTTAGTCCATTACATACATATTATGTGGGTGGTCACCCATGTGCAACTGATGCTACAAGTTTCATATATACTCTGTATTCCTTTCTGTGGTGTCAAGATAGGCTGTGGTGGAATCTTTATGTTTTTGCATGTGTGTTGTATATGTTGTGTCTTGTGTGGAGATATCACTTCTTTCCACTACTGGATATTGTGGTTGTTCCTGTTCTATGATTTTATGACTCTGTTAGGGTCCTAACAGGATCAGAGAACAGGAACAACCACAATAATTAACAGTTAATTTTAACATTTTGATAGTAATAATGTTTTAACATTTTAACTTGTTAAGACTAATATTACAGCATGAATTCAGCAACATGACAAGATCCATATAAAAATTTGTTAATGATATTTATATCAATACTCTTACTAATATGGATCCATATTAGGACACAATCCAAAGAGATGTATCATGAAAATTGCCTGATGATGATCCAGCTGCATCTAAACATGCAGCAGATACAGAATAATAAACAAATATAATGACAGTAATATTGGTTTATTTATTTGGAGATTGTTGTGTTGATGGCCATATAATACTACAAAGTGATACACAACAGGATGCATACAATAAAGCTGATTAAATGTGCCTGAAAACTTCCTGTATGGATCTTCAGTAACAAATTTCACTGATATTCATTCAGGACTCTTGGAGATGAAACAAAAGACAGATGGAAGGGTATTCCCTATATGTGTTCACTCTGTGCACAGAAAACACATTATAAGGCCTTCCATGATATTTATTCCCTCTTCAGCACATCTTTAATCCTTGGTTACACTACAGCATACTATGTCTACAATATACAATGCAAAAGTACTACAGGTAACTGGAAAATACTATGCAAAGGAACTAAAGGGATTACATTTCTTCTTTCCGCTTTTTGCTTCCAGTCTGTTGGAACAAAGATAATAAACAAAATGAAAGTAATTTATATATACAGGAGTATAAAGAGTGATGCAGAGCTATAGGTTAATAATCACAGAAGTTGTCGGGGAGACCAAGTGGAGCTGAAAATGTAAATATTATTATTTTTTTCTTCAGATTTTCTTCCATTAAAGAGTTAACAAGGGCCGGGCCATAGCTCAAGTGGTGAGTAGCTGGCTTCCCACCGCGGCAGCCTGTGTTCGAACCGAGGTCTGGTCAAGTGGGATTTGTCGTGGACAAAGTGGCGTTGGGGCAGGTTTTCTCCAAGTTTCCCCTGCCAATCTTCATTCAGCCAATTGCTCCACAATCACCCTCACCTATCATCTGGGGCTGGTACAACAGGCCAGAAATGGCTGCAGTATAAGGGACTTAGTCCCACTCCACTAGCAATAAAGAAAAGGTTAAAAATGTTCTTACACTGATGTAGCTTTGCGTTACTGTGACAGGCAATTTTCACAAAATGGGGAACAATTCTCTTTAACATATCATGTCAACTGATTGGGCACATTACTTCCTATAAGTAATGCCTCATGAGTACACAACACATGATACAGAAATTGAGACATATCCACAATCCTGTGTAGCGGCCATTATGATCATAATGTCTCCAGGATTCAGCCCTTGCAGGAGTTGTGCATGGAAGGAATGCAACTGATTCCCCAGACAGAAAGCCATAATGTACTCTGAGAAGGTCGCTGCAGAAGAAACCTGAGAAGTGCTGGCTGAAGAGTTATTGTGTATGATATCCAATGCATCCCTCTCATCATGCACATTTTGTCTTGCACAGCCAACATAGGCATCTGACATATGCATGCATGTTTCCCCCATATTATGATGCACAATTAAGCACAACAGACCACCACTCCTTCAGTACTGTACTAGAACTCTGATGAATCACCTCGTCCATGCATGCATACACAAACATATACACACATGAATGAAATGGGCTTGAGTTACACAAATATGTAAGGTTTCTGTTCAATACAGAATCACACAGAAATCATCCAGTTAATCAATGCATGAACCATTTCAGTTCTGGTATGTGCCCCTTTGAAGAAAATAATAACAATACTAACAGAAGCCCTACAGTTCAGTTACAGGAGACTAGTGGGAATGAAGTCTTTGTTACATACACATTTTCTTAGTGCATTCAACATTGTTCTCTCAACTGCACAAGTAATATACTGCGTCAAATTGCAGAATGACTGTAAATAATGAATCCTGATAGTAATATCCTATTTTAAGGTACTATCCCAGACACTGCCTGCAGGGCCTGAGGAAGAGGAAGTAAATAACCCTCACATATGTGTTCATATCCATTGTAAACATAACTAACATGTATGAAAGAACATTGCTGCTAAACAAACTTACAAAATGAGAACTCAGTACCCTTTACAAATAATGTATTCATTACACACATCCATCAAACAGGTTGGTGTATTCCCTAGGCTTGAATTTAGGAAGAGTTTTGTCTGAATCTCAACTAGGACACCAGCCATCCTACTGGGGATTTTGTGGTTCTCCTTAACCCCTCCAAGCAAATTCCAGGATAGTGACTTCAAACCCATCAAGAATCAATTACCAAAGATCAACATTCTATGAAAACCATCCTAGGTCAATTAACAAAGATAAAAAATTAATGAAAACCTAGTCAATATCAATTATAGGACTTCAAGGTTTCATAAAATCTTTCAGATCAATTACCAGAGTTCAAGGTGCTATGAAAACCTACCAAAGAACAATTACCAAACACCAAGACTTAATAGAAACCCATTAAATCAATTGCCGAAGAATAAAATTCTACAAAAACCCACTTCAGGTCAATTAGCAGAAATCAAGGTTCAACAGAAACCAATTTCTGATAAATTACTAGAGATACAAGCCTGATAAAAACACATTCAATATCAATTAGCAGAAATAAAGGTACAAAAGAAACTATAAATCAAAGCTTGACAGAAACCCATCACAGATCATTTTCAGAGACTAAGGTTCAATACAAACCTATCCCACAAAATAACCACTGGCAAGAGTCCTGTGACCATATCCTTCAATCATCAGAGGCCAAAGTTTTGGTGATTTTTATATTTTGTGACCTCCAAAAAATAGCATTAAAGGATGGCTACAGTGCAGAAGGCCATGTGTAATTAGTTTTATCAGCAGACTATAGAACTCTGTGTGAAAGATACCAATGAACACTGTTCTACTCCCCTTCAAATTTTAAAATCGGGTTCACCAGCTACCCATTCCTACAGCTGTTCCATTTGCAACCCACAGCACACTTTATACAGGATTTCTTTTTCTTATGCAGCTAAGCACATTTAACACATTGTGTGATCCTCCTTGCTTTTCAGTCCTAGCCATATTTTCTCTTCATACTAGCAACTTCAGCCATTATATTGAAACATCATGCATCATATACTAATAAACTATAGACCATAAAATCAAGCTAGAACATACAGGGAGAGGACAAAATAATGGAAACACTAAAAAACTGAGGAATAGAATTTGTTGGCTGCATTGAAAGAACTTCAGTTGGCAACACTGAATGTCCTTCTTCCATTTATTTATTTATGTTTACAATGCAGCACAGGTGACAGCAGAACTGAACATTCATCTCGCAGATCCTGTTTCCACAAAAACTGTCTGACATGAGCTTCACAAATCTAAAATCCATTGTAAGGCTGCAACTGCAAAACCTCTTATTACTCGAAGTAATGCTCAGATGTTTAATGGTGTCACGACCATAAAACCTGGACATAGACAAATGGAAACGGTCATACGATACAGCCTTCATGCTGTTCCTTACATCAGGAAGAGTTTATGTTTTGACAGCACCCAGGAAAGCCTACAATCTGGAATGCCTGGTTCCAATAGTGAAACACTGGGGAGGTTCTGTGATGGTTTGGGCAGCAATATCATGGTACAGTGTTCTGTTGGTCCCATTATTAACCCTTCATGACCAAATTAATGCAAGGGAGTACATGAACAGGTTGGACAATCAAGTGCATCCCATGATCAAGATATAATTTCCTTCCAAAGAATGATGCAGTTTTCCAAGATGACAATGCATCCATTCGCACACCTGGAAATGTTCTGTCATGGTTTGAAGAGCATGAAGGTGACCTTCAACATTTTCCTTGGCCAGCACAATCATAAGATTTGAACATCACTGAACTGCTGTGGTCAGTTTTGGAGACTAGAATGAGGGACAGATCCCACCTCCAACAGCTCTAAAGCAACTTGAAGATGTTCTTCACAAAGAATGGTATAAAATTCTGCTTGAGACTGTTCAAAACTTGTACGAGTCACACAACATGCCTGTTACATTAGTTTAACCCTACAAGTGCCAAGTGACAACAATATCGACCTTTACAAAAACTGCTACATCTGACTCATATGACATCTGTTGGCATTTTATTCAAACTCCACAGTCAAATAACATTTAGCAGGAATATTCTTTTATATCTGAAACTCTTCGGGAGTGTTTCATACACATTATTCACCAAGAGTAGCTCTGACACCCTAAAATGGTGGCTCACCTCTGTATGAATTCAAGCTGATATTTCTAGGGTTGAATAATATTGTGTGTTGCTGCTGTATGTCGGCTCAGTCAAGACCGGTACCAAGTTAGTCAGGTGTGAAAGGGTAAGTACAACAGTCGTTAAGGGGAAACATCTACAGGACTTACCGTTGTAGCTGCCGTTCTTCTTCTGCATGAATGTTTGGGGTGTTTGGTCGAGATGGTCGCTGGGCTCGCAATGCTTCCCAGATATCCACCTAAGTATGAGATACTTATTAGTATTCATGTATCTAGAGAACTGTGTATAATTTGTCTATTTAAAAAAAAACTGTCCATGTGTGCTAAATAATATTCTGTTTAGCATGAGAAAACATACATCATCTGCTGCTGAAATCCTATTACCCTCCAACCTACCCAACTTCCCATTCTACTAAATTATATTTGGCCAGTTCTCTAGTTACAGCAATCACTGAAAATGTCCTACACAGTATTCTGACATTCTGAGTTCTAAATCTCATGTACTCTTTACAGTATATGAGATTCTTGCAAACAGGCTTCAAATCTTTGAAAAGAGGGATGAAAAGACAATGCATAATATGAATATTCTTTAGATTTGCTTTATGCAGGACGTATGTGTATTTGCAGAGCTGAATTTACTTGCTTTCTGATAGTCATCAAATGCTGATTCTTTTATTATTTTACAGTATTAATTTGTGAATCTTAACTCTTGAAATCTTCCAGTAATGAAATAAAGTAAATCTGTTTACCAATACATATTGTAGTCATGGTGGTGTGAACTAAACACACGAAAGTTATTTTTTAAAAAGTCTGTAAATTTCTTATCAATTTGGAGTGACTATAGTGACTATAATCAACCATTTCCTGTAGTGAGTAGATGGGAAGGGGGGGGGGGGGGCTTTATGAATGAAAGAGCTAATGTTGAAACTTAAAAACATGAAAGTCTTAGACTCATCCTTGAAATGTTATATCTGCACACTGCAAACTACTTTTCAGTAATACCTCATCTTTTTCACTACCAGCTTCAATAAGACTTTGTTGAATTGCAAACTGAAGGAGTTCATCCTCTTCTTCTATGCTGAATTGTCTTCGAACTTCTGCACCTGAAACATAATGTACATTTCCTCAGCTTTAACATACACTTAATATTCAACATCAGACATGCATGGTAACAGCTAATAGATTCTTCAGTGTTCAAGTACTTGGAAAAGAATTCTACTCTACATAAAATTAAGGACATAGTGAATTAGAGAAATACTTGTTACCTTTCCATGCAGAATTCTGAATTTTTCCATATTCTACCTAATGATTAAAAGATACAAACCTATAATTCTACTTCCTGTTTTATATGTGTATGAAACTCAATCTCTTATTCTAAGAAACAACAGACAGATATTTCAGAAGTTTCAGCTGACACTATTACTTAAGTCTACTACTCAATGTAATCAACACTAAAGGTGAACACACTTCTCCCACTGCAAGGGTAGATGATCAAATGTAACGCTGTAATCATATATGCTCAGATGACATAACGATGCTAGAACAGCCTTTCTGATGGCAGGTGCAGATTCAAATTGGCACTGCTGAATTGGCTCCTTTCTTCAAAGAGACAGAGAGTAATCACAAGGGGATATGGGCAGAAAAAAAAAAGAGGGTATGCCAGCACTTCTCAACCCAACAGCTGCATCAAGTACTGCACATCACAATAATGATGCAACACTGCAATGTCTTGGAGGAAAAAGATGCTTATATAGTAGCTATTACTGTTTCCAACGCAGGGCAGGTTACTCTACCAAGTAACACACAAATGGCACATGATGGTCAAGCACTAGCCTATGACTGACGAAGACCATTATATGCATCGCTTTCAGATTACCATTACTGAGTTTTGTTATCTTCTTCCATGATGAGATAAGGGACCACAATAGTGGTCATCTAAAATGCTCCTCATAGACTGAAGGTGTTTCAAAGTAAGTGCAGAGTAAAATATATGAATCTAAGAAAGATGATGCAAGATGGACTAGAGGAACTTATACAGGGTGTCCCAGGAGGAATGTGCCAAACTTCGGGAGGGTGTTCCTTATGTTAAAGTATGCCGATATAACCCAAAACACCTATGTCCAAAGTTGAACGGTTACGGAGATAATGGCCCGAGAAAAGTGTGGTCTTCTAGCGGGTCCACGGATTATACCTATCAGCTGAGAGGAATTATCTCTGTTTGTCCTTGACTGCCGTGATTCATCCTATCCGTGCTTATGGAGTTGGCTTTATCAGAACGCGCAGTCAGCACGTTACGTCATCGCTTACCATTCATGTGTCATGTACAGTGCTTGGAACTCTTAACGACAACTTTGAGATGGCATGCGAGTTTTTTGTACTTCAATTTTATGGCTTCATGTCACTCACAAGTTAGTTTGATGTTACGTACATTATTAACGTTACAGAATCCACATATTCCTGCCAGTTTTAATATCTATTTTGTAATCAACAAGTGTGTAACCCCGGTCAAAGTTTGACACTTCTCTGGCCATTATCTCCGTAACCGTTCAACTTTGGACATAGGTGTTTTGGGTTATATCGGCATACTTTAACATAAGGAACACCCTCCCGAAGTTTGGCACATTCCTCCTGGGACACCCTGTATAGAGAAGCTTACTATACTTAAGCTAATATTTTATCGAACAGGATAATGTGGGTGGGGCATGTAGCAAGTGCAAGTAAAACTAAAAGCACACACAGAAACTTGGTCAAACAGTCTCCAAGAAAAAAAAAAATACTTGGAAGATCCAGGCACACATGGGAAGATAACACTTGAATGGAGCTTAAATATAGAGATATGGTACGCAGTGGATTCAACTGGCTCATGATAAGGTGAACATTGCAATGAGCTGTCAGATTCCAAACATGCCTGGAATTCATTCTGGAATTAGGACCCATAACTTTCAAGGCAGACCTTGTCTATCATGGAGTTAGACATACATTATATATGAGCATTAAAAAAGACCACTGCTATGAATATGGCATGTAACAAGGAGTCTAACATTATAATGAAAAATATTTAATGCACTATCAATTTAATAATGTTAAATATAGGAATATATGTAATTTCATTGTTATTATTATGAATGCTATAGTAATGTTATCTTTCAGATGTTTCTATTCTTAATTTTGTAAACCTTGCTTATATTTAACTGATGAAAGGCTTTAGCTATGAAGCTGAAAGAAAGGCATGTGATCCTGGCAATTACCCTGGAGAGACTGAGGAAAATCATGAAATATCACACTCAGATTACTCATACTCACCTAATTTTGAGTATGATGCTGGAGGAATGAAACAGCTGTCATCCACAACACACGTAATTCTGTCTTCTTCCATAATTCTTGTTATTCCAGGAATTTCTTCATCCAAACCAAATATGTTGCCAAATGTTATCCTCGCATTGAGTACATGAAACAGTGGGATTTCTGAAAGAATAAAATTATACCCATTGTGGAACTCAACCACCTAAAATAATGAGGTATGTGGTGACAAAACAGAAAAAATTCATACCTATTTTAACTGGAAAACCTGCCGGTAGCTGCATTTGAATGAAATCTTTGAGTTTTGCAAAGTGTGAACTGGAAATTGCCATTAAGTCTACAATCGGCATTATTTGCTCTTGTAGACTCAAAGGGTAGTTTTCACACAGCCAAAGCGTGGCCTGAAATCACAGTACAGACATCAATAAAGTAAACATTTTCCAAATGCACACTTCATGAATTTCTGTTAAGATGCTATTATGGAGGACCTGATGAAAGTCAGATGTACTTCTAAAGTTCTATGCTGGGGTATGCTAGGACAATAAAGTTAAGAAATTTAATTACCTTGAATTTCTGTATTTTTGTATTAACTTCTTTTGGACGGCCAATATCTCTTCCTTTCAGGTCCACTGTATGATCGAAATACTCCTCAGGTGTAATATTGCAAGGGTTGCCTATATGACTGTATTCCTCCTGAAGTAAAAATATCTAATTTAGGAGTGTCATTTACAAAGAAATTTGCACTAAAATATGCTGATATATATACAAAATGTAAAACACATTCTTTTCTAAGTTAATTTAAATTCTATTAATTCTGAGCAACAACTAAAGAGAATTTTAGAACTCTACAATACTGTGACATATTTCAGTCATGGCATATTTTATATCCTCTCATTTGCACAGAAGAATAATTTTGACTCATGATTTCAATGGTTGTAAAATGTGGCCTCTTAATCTGATGAAAGGCTATTTATTACAAGTGTATGAAAATAAAGCACTCAGGAAACTACGTAGGTCATACTGAAAGTCATGAGCAACAATTTTTTCTAAAGTAACATGGTTTCTTATTGACAAACCAAATACACCACCTCAATCTACAGACGTTTCTTTGTTTTCCCACATAATTGCCACTTCTTTGTACACATTTCTCCCAGCGTTCTGGGAGTTTGAAAATTCCCCTTCTGTAAAATTCCATTCCAGCCATCCGAAGACACTGACGCACTGCTTTCTGAATTCAGCGCGCTTATGGGTTCAAGCAGTGTTCGAAGATGGGTGAAACATTTTAAAGATGGGAACACTAGCATCGAAGATGAGCCTCGGAGCGGTCGTCCTTGAACAGCCTCAACTGAACGCAACAAGGAAAGTGTGAATGAGATCATTCAAGATGACAGGTGTGTGACTGTGGACACAATAGCCCAAAAACTTGGAATAGGGCACAGTGCAGTATAGGAGATGATTGAAAGCTTGGGCTATAGGAAAATTTGTGCTTGTTGGGTCCCGCGGTTATTGACCGAAGACCCCAAAGGTCACATTGGAAGCAACTGCAAAGATGGGGTGGGAAGTTCTTCCACACCCCTCCTGTAGCCCTGATTTGGCACCCTCCGTCTACCATCTTTTCGGATTTGTGAAGGATCAGCTGCGTGGACGTTTTGAGACAAGGGAGGCAATTCAGAAAGCAGTGCGTCAGTGTCATCGGATGGCTGGAACGGAATTTTACAGAAGGGGAATTTTAAAACTCCCAGAACGCTGAGAGAAACATGTACAAAGACATGGCGATTATGTGGAAAAATAAAGAAAGGTCTGTAGATTGAGGAGGTGTATTTGATTTGTCAATAATAAAGCGTGTTAGTTTACAAAAAATTGTTGCTCATGACTTTCAGTATGACCCTCGTGCACTGATCCAAGTGAAATGAAGTGAACATTTCAGAATTCCACACAGAGGGAACCTCTGAAATGTTTACAGGTCATCTAATAGTGTTAGGATGGTGAAATCGAGATTACTCCGAGCTGGGCATATAGCTAGGATCTGGGACAAAAGATACATATCCAGTATTTTGGTGAGAAACTTTCTAGAAAATGTACATCTATACATCCACTCTCCCATATAGCTTCACAGTGTAGTGCTTAATTAGTTAAGCACAGGGACAACTTTACCTTTACCCTCTTGAAAAGTGGTTCACTTTTGAGTACTAAGAAGGAAATGAGATGACAACATTAAAATGGTGGGTGGAAATGTGTTACAATCATGGACAATGGCAGTCCTCAGTCAGTGGTACTGAGTCTACAGACCCTCTTTGTGGGTTATTTAATGATGCATTTTCAGTATTGAGACTGTATAGTATCAGACAGCAGAATCACAGATCAGTGATTAATTGGAAAGTATTTAAAAGGATACAGTCATGATCTAATCAAGTTATTATCCTGGCATTTACTGGAGGCATGGAGGTAAACCATAATAAATCTGTCAGCACAGTTGGTGTCCTGACTGAGATTCAAACCAAGCACCTCCTGAAAACAAGTCTAGCGAATTACCTCTAGATTAACCTGTTCAGTTCTTCAGTCCTATTACCAGAGTCACTGTAGGTAATGTATGTAATTCAGATAATACACATACATTGTTTGTTTCTGGAAGAGCGGTCTGCTTCTCCTCTACCTCTGCAATACCAAGGAATGACTGCAGTGGTGTCTTTGGTGCTCTCGCCTTCACTTTGTCTGTCTCTGTGAGGTGTTCAGTCCGAGTTTTTGTTACTAGTTCAACATTGCTTGCTCCAAATACTTTACAGTCATGCCCATTCACTGGTTCACATTTATCTGACCGCCAGCCCCATATACCAGATTTATTCCTGTAAAACATAATTTAAGGAAGGTTCATTATGCCAATTTTACATTCTAGACAATACTGTTACAGTGATTTAAAACTGAAGGATGGGATGGGTGAGATAAGTAACACACATTAAGGAAATGATAAATCCTTATGCTAAATTTTGATCAGAACATCTTAAGAAAGAAGGCCACCTGGAAGACCTCAGCACAGGAGTAATATGATAGTGAAATGGATCTCAGAGAAACACAGTGTGAAGTTATGTAAATTGTTTTTGATTTGTCACTGAGAAGAATGGAGAATGATATAGAGCATATAAATAAAATCATCAAACAAATATAAAGGACAATTTTCTGATCAAACACTCTACAGACTAACTCAAACTGCATGCTACTACATAATCATCAAAGCAACAAAATAAACCATGAATCAAATCTATAAAAATCTATAATTAAACCGTTAAAATAAATTCTCTCATGTCAAAAAAAGAAAAAAAAATCTGTAGAGACATTATTCATCACAAATATATAACTTTGTGTCATAACTTTAGAGGTCATTCCTAGATCAATTTGAGTGAAAAATTCTGTACCAACATGGGTATTATTCTCAGTGGTTACAGAGCTATGGAGAGAGGAAGTTAAGATGTGAATATGAAAAATACATTTTTATAATAAGAAATGATACTTAATTGTGGTAAATGATTTTACACATCCTGAACTATCACTGCCATAAAAAATATTCAAAATTTCCACCTTCAGCTTCAATACACACTCCTGATTGTTTCACAGATCTCAAAACAGAACAAAGAATGTCTCAGCCTTGTATCCTTAAACAATATCACATGGTTAGTCACTAAGTTATCATCACGGTGGCCCAGGTTTGTTCCCAGGTCAGGCCATGCAGGATATTTGGTGGGCGGTGTCAGGGCAGGTTTTCAGAGTACTTTGGTTTGCCCTGCCAATTTTCATTCCACCAACAGTTCCATGTTCATTTGTCATCCTATCATTGACACTATACAGTCTCAATACTGAGAGCATCATTAAATAAGCAACTTAAAAAAGATAAAATCTTTCATGCACCCAAGTCAAGGAAAGTGAAGTCTGGTGAATGCGGTGGTCAATTTTACAGATCATCACAGACAACCCAGCAACCAGGAAAGTGTTAGTTAGTTATTGGAGAGGGTGGGTTTCCCCATGCACTTAGACCAGTATTGGTCCATTGTGCTTCCCTCTATGATATTCTACCAGTCTCTATATCCTACCAGTACTCGTGCATACCATCAGTCCCGCCAAGCCAGCGAGTTCGGCCTCCACTGGCTCAGTGGTGTCTATAATGCTTCCCCCATCTACCAGAGGCGTTAGTGACTACTGTTGGGCAGGAAACGTCCTTGAATTTGGTTCAGTGATCTCCTTTGGAGATATGAGGTTCTTTTACGTGCCGTAAAGCTACGACACGGGACACAAGGCTTAAAGTCCCTCCCGGAGGACTTGTTCCCTGAATTTTTCCGCCCTTAAAAATTCGACGACCTCCGCTGGGTTTGAACCCGCATACCACGAGTCATGAGTTGGGAACGTTACCTCTAGACTACGGAGGTCGCTACAGACCGACTTACTTATATNAACCAGGAAAGTGTTAATCCAGTTTCTGTGTAATGTGGTCACTGATATAAGGCAGTGCTTTTTCATGGTAGGAGTACATTCATGTCTTGTTGTCAGAGGTACTTCTTCCATTATGCCCTACAGCACATGGTCCACAACTATAAGTGTGAGTTTCTTGTACTGTTTACTCCACCACCAGTACTCTGAGCTTTGTCAGTGAATAAGATGTACTGACAAAGGTGGAGGGTGCAACTAACTGTGGCAATATTCCAACAGCTTACTCAAGTCTCCAGCGGCCTCCGTAGTCTAGAGGTAACGTTCCAACCTCATGACTCGTGGTACGCGGGTTCAAACCCGGCGGAGGTCATGGAATTTTTAAGGGCGGAAAAATTCAGGGAACAAGTACTCCAGGAGGGACTTTAAGCCGTGGGTCCCGTGTCGTAGCTTTACGGCACATAAAAGAACCTCATATCTCCAAAGGAGGTCACTGAGCCAAATTCAAGGACATTTCCCGCCCAACAGTAGTCTCTAACGCCTCTGATAGATGGGGGAAGCATTATAGATACCGCCAAGCCAGTAGAGGCCGAACTCGCTGGCTCGGTCGGGACTGATGGTATGGCAGTTAGACCAGTTCCGTTGCAAAATCCATAGATAAATTCATGCATGCATATTCTTCATTACTAAGTGCAAATGGCATATCTTCTATTCAATTCCCTACTGCTGTACCAATGCTACACAACATACATGGATTGCACAACCTCCTAGTCGCTACGGTACTGCAGGATGGACCTAAAGAGACCTGCATTCCAGCGCATGCTTGCACAGTGACACCCATCAATTTTAGGTAACACTCTATTTTAATCCACTGACAGTTCTGTAACCACTGAGAATCATACCCATGTTGATATAATACAGGCCCACCTCAGGAATAATCTCTTGAAGTTATGAAACACTCTTTATATTATTCATTCACAAGCCAAATATTATGCTGTACAAATGGTGAGAGGTACAGGATCCAAGAGATAAATAAGAAGTTGCAAAATTCCCCCAAGGCATAATAATTTTGGCATGTTTGGTCTGTTACTACCCCTAAGATTTCTCATATTACATGATGGCTCACCATAAGGATCACTTTTGTTTAATTATCTTGAAAACCATAAGACTAGAAGAAAAAGTGCACTGAATATAAAATGTGTATTTCATTTTCCTCTGAAATGTTTATTTGAAATACATTTTGATCCAATAAATACACAGCAAGATAAGCACAGAAATGCATGTCGGTCTTCATGTGTGATGTTTCTATTACTGTTGTCTGATTTTAATCAAAATTAAACTGTTAACAAATTGTATCAACATTTTCCTATATCAAATTCTATTAATATCTGTTAAGCAGTTCTGAAGTTGTTACAGACAGATGGTGAGACAGAGAGACAGACAGACAGAGAGGGCAAAGACAGTAGGCAAATTTTTGCAACTTTTCATTTTAATTGTGATAAAGAAGATCATTGAAGTAAGGGAGTTCAAACTGTCTCAGAGATCTGTCATACCCACTATACTAGTTTTAAATCGTACCAGCACACACATACTGATATGAAGAACAAATATATTTTAACTGCCCACCACAAAATTTGTACCAACAATAAATGAAGTGGTGAAAATGAGATGCTGATTCTTTGTGTACTTTAATTTGACGGAAAGCTCAAGCATAGTTTGCAGAGCTAATGCAGATAATAATAATAATAAAGAAAGATGACAATGCATCAGCCACTCTCCCCTAAGACACTACTCATGATGAGTTGTAGCAGAGATGCAGATATATTCGCCTGATATTTTGTAGATATTCCGATACAACAGTTCAAGGTGCACAGCTGGACAGAGACCAGGTGTTTTAAGAATATCTACATCTTTCCAGGCACATACATCAACACACACAGCAATGACAAGAAGCAAGCTTTCTGCATGAGTTTGATGTCAGAATAGGTTCTATCAACAAGAGTGCTGCTCTTTGGAAAAGCATCTTACTTATCCATCTTCCTGCTTGGTGTGTGATCCATTCAATGAAGGCCAAGTACTGAAAGCCACATCAGAATACAATTTGTGTCAAAGAGAGAAAGGAATCTTATGCAAACGATGCATGTTATAATGACTTCTTTGCAGAAAGTGAGTTCTAACAACTGCTTTAGAAAGGCAGTGTTCATCACCACCACTGACATGCACAACCACAGAAGAAGACTGGGTGAAACTTACTCCCAATTCAGACATCCAGTTCACTGACTACATGAACTGCAATGACAACAAATTAACAACAGAAAGACAGAGTATCAACAAAATATATGATGTTGCAGAAAACAGAAAGGAAGATGGTGTATATAGCGAAGGAGTGATGGAGGAAGTACAATTCCTACATTTAGAGAGGCAACTGCTAGCTTTGAGGCTGTCTGAAAGTACATACGCTCATTCAATTGTGATGATGCAGACCTGGCAAGACTGGATCAAGCAGACAGGGAGTTGATATTTGTTCAACAGACACACCAAGCAAAGCAGACCTATCTTCTGGGCTATTTTTTAAAAAATATACTATTTCTGGTATGTATGCATGCAACTTATATTTGAAAATGCACTTTTAAATTTTACCTCATTTGTTCCACTATGATTTTCAAACTGGCAAAGGCTACATTTATGAATTCATGGATAGTTCTGTACTTATATGTCACATTTAAAAAGAGGTTCTAGAAATTAAATGTCACCATGTTTGTAAACAAAGTACACATGTTTGTGACGTCTGCTAAACTGACAATTATTAAATTATTTCTTACAATCTCCACAAAATACCTTTCAAAGCTGATCTTGTCAGTGTCAATATATGTTGTAACAATTGGCGTCGTGAGGCGGGATGATATAGCTTCTTCACTAGGTTGTAGAAACTGGAGGTCTTCTGCCGAGATCATGCGCATCTGCTCAACATATACCTGTTGTGTTTCATGATCAACTTCCATCATCACAGCCGAATCACCTGCTGAGCACATCAATGTGTGAATCCTACATAAACATACATGCATGTGCATGACAACAGGCGCACGCACATACACACACACACACAGAAGACATAAATCATTAAAAGAAATTCTGTGTGTGTCAAAAAATATCATGTATTACATCGAAACACAAATGATGTTTGAAGTAAGTCAAGGGGTTTACAGTTATTTTTATACAAGGTCAGTAAAACTACAGAATGTTACTAAATCTGGTAAGTAAAAAAACTTGTGACTTGAAAGGGGAGACCAAGAAAGTAAACCTATGAGATCACAATGATGTTCGTGTCTGCGTGTGTGTGTGTGCGTGTGCATATGCACGCAAGCAAATGTATATCCTTTTCAGGGCCAGTCCTTCTTTGACTCTGATACTAGATGAAGGTGAGTGGCCAGCATTGTCTCCCAAGTGCTTTCCCCCTAGGGAAAGAACATACTGGAGATGATGATACTTAGCTTGCAAAAGGACTCACCTTGCTTGAAAAGATGCAACAAAGTGAAGACATTACAAAACAAGTCAGGCTGTACTAATAGCCTTCAGTTTTTAATGAATTGCAGCAAACCTACAGTAACCTACAGAATACAACAACCAACAACTTTACAAAAAATGTGAAAAACTTTGAATGTACAGTAAAACTTGTCAAATTAGAGCCTAGATCAAATGGAAGTCTGTTTGTACCGGAAAATTTCTCAAGTCCTAAGAATATATAGTGATAACCAATGTAAAATGTCAGGTAATAAAAAAGATCTTAGCGCTGAAAAGGAAATGGAAAGTATGAAGTCAGTGGAAAAGAACATGTCATGAACAAAAGTATTATACTTGTTTATTAACAAGATACTAGCAGACAACTGGGAAAATTGAAAAATTGGAAGTGAAGGCAAAGAAACCTGAAAATGTGTACTAATCAGTGATAGGATATATGCAGTATATACTCGTATATCTAGCTTGTTATTTGGATTACAGATTCTACATGGGGTATGTACTGCGCAATGTTTTTATCTGGAAGAAAGTACCAGTGTTATAAGGAAACCTACCTAAAACTGACAAATAATTGGTTCTTTTGGGATTTTGTTATAAGCAGGTTCTACTGAACTGTGGAAAAACCAGAAACTGTTATCACCTGTTTCAGCTGGGTGAAGTTTGAAAATATAGCTTCTATGACAGCGTATCACTGTTGGAGTTGAGATGACTGTTAAAAGTGAGACACATATTGAAAACTACATGCAAATCATACAAGACATAATTATGAAAACCAATAAATCTATAATATCTGACATACACGTATATCATAATAGTATATACATGTATTATTTCTATAGAAAAACAAGAGTGGAGAACTACAATCCATTTTATAACACATAAACTTTACAAATGTATTCTTTGTGATTTTTTTCTGTTCACATATCCTCACTGCTGACAAGTTACACTGAAAAAGATGATGCTACTAATGTGCCTAAGCATATCATCTGTGTATACAGAAGATGTGGAGATAATGACTTCAAGCATTTAAGATCTTGACACTAAATGGAAGTCATCAGCTACATAATCCAGTCACTTTGCTCAACAGAGAGCCTCTAGTACACATCAGATATGAGGCTGGGAGGGCCTTACAGCTCAACATGGTGGGAAAGAGAAAAATTTCCCTTCTGGAAATTAAGCAACAGTTGTCCATCCCATTATCATTCACTCTGACTGAAGTATTCTGTGTTTATTAAACATTACGGAAGTCCAATATTGACAGTGTTGTTTGTATATGCACATGTGCATTTTAAGCATGTCAGCATCAAAGGATATAAACAGTAAAGCTACTGACTGCACTGCATAATGTTAAAGTACATTCGTTTGTTGCTGATACAGCTAATCAAAAATGTTTCATTCTACACGGGCCTATTGATTGGATCCCTAGCCAGCTGATTCAGGCACTGCAATAACACAAGAACTGATGGGCAGGATCAGAACCCAGTCCTGCCCTTTCACCAGTAATAAGTATAGGAAACGGTAGCTCATCATTCTCTTGCTATGTATAAACACAATACAATGATCAGTTGATCAGTTCTCAGTAACAATCAGGTACACAACTACCAGAAGGAAAACAGCCATGTCCATGTGGCCAAAAAATCTTATGGCTCCTTATGAGTGCAATATTCTTCTCAAGTGCTGTAAGCAGTAATGGTTCATCAGAAAAATGGAATGGTCATGATAAGCAGACTGATAAGTTGATTTATTGGAGGGCAGAATGAACTAGATGGCACTCAGGTTCTTTGTATGAGTAGCTGGGACTGTAAACACTGATGTATTACAATTACTTCTGACAAAATTACCCTTAATTTATTCTTTTCATGAACTCTTTGTGACGATATGTATAATAATTCCAACAAACCAATACTGCCACCAAAGACAGTTTTGGGACAGGGTACTTGGTGACAGCTACTACCAACTTCTCACAAACAGCACTGAACTTGTGAGTACTATAGACTAACTCCAGCTCTGGAGAGTGTCGGTTCAGAACCAAAAAAGATACTGATCCTACAGTGGCTTCCCTTCATCCTTACAACCAACATACATAAGATAATCATACATTACACATGCACACACAAATTTTAAAATATGTTTAAAATAAAAATGATACGCCTTACTTGCGATATACAATCTGTACATGAGAATGTGTTTAAAAATTTCAAAAAAAAAAAAAAAAAATTAAGTTGATATTTATTTGGTGCTTAATTAATTAACTAATATGAATGAAGTATGCATACAGATAGTGCCTTCATACTATGACATGACGTTTTTAATCAGAAGCTTCAGAATCTTGGAATTACACATGTTGCAGAGGCATCCACTGCTACATAACATCTTGTTGAAACATATATGTGCAGCAGCAGACACATCCAAAACAGTTGGGAACTGCTGGAGGCGACATTTTCTAGTTGGTCCACAAGAAGCCAGCACTGAAGTTAGTGATGATAGAACACATCAGGGAGATTTTCAGTGGGTGTTTATACCATCCAAATGCAACATTTTCATTCTTGCACCCTATCCTACACACTCTCTTACATGTTTCGGTCTCATATGGCCATCCTCAGGCACAGTTACTCCTACTAAAACTGTTGCACTGTCATTTCAATTTAGTCGTGTGAGGAACACTTTGTTACTTTTAATAAAGATCCTCTAAAAGCCATAAAATGCTGGTACTTTCTCAGAGCCAGCGGTATGCATTGCTTCACAATCACTACTCACACAGCCAGAATAACTCAACAAGAAGTGACGCCAACATGTCACCAAAAAACACATCATACACAGTCACCAATGCACGCTATTGGTAATCAGCAAGTACCAGCATTTTATGGATATTAGAGGAAGCAACAGCGTGATCCACGTGCAACTAAACTGAAGTGACAGTATAACGGTTTTAGCAAAAGTAACTATGCCTGAAGATGGCCGTGTGAGGATGGATCATGTTTTAGAAGAGTGTATGTAGAACAGAAGGCAAGAATAAAAATGTTGCATTTAGATTGTGAAAACACTTTTCCACTGAGAATTAGCAGTAATGCAACTAGATGCTGGAGTACAATATTACATGAGGGAGAGCCCATTATAAGATGGCCCACAACACAGCAACATGTATGTGATGACAGGGCCAGTAAAGAACAAAGCAAGAGTAATACAACAGATTGTGAACCACTGTCAATATTTGTAAATTGTGTAATCATTTGTAGAGAAGAAAAATCAGTGTCCAATAAAACATATCACCAACCATAACCTATCACTGTTCCCTGTCATGTCACAGTATGAAGAACAGATTGTAATGGACTGATATGGATAAAAATTAAATTCACCTAGCTCATTTCTTATATATTTTGTCCAGACACATCAAGTTACTTGGCATGAAAAATACCGATGGACAGACAATACCTCTCCAACATGTCCTCAATTCATATGATATGTGTGAAAGGACAGGAAATAATGCAAATTATACAAAAACTAACAGAATGTTGTGTAAGATTTGAGGCTTTCACGGCGGTGACTATGATGAAAGCAGTCTTCTGGGATTTGGCACCGCGTATATGTGGTGTTAACCGACGTTTCGGAGGAACGTATCGCCTCCATCTTCAGGGTAGAAGAAAAAATATAAGAATTCTGCAAGTGGAGAGACCGTGAGAACCGGTAAAAGCAGAATGTTGTGGTTATCAAACACAAGCTTCACTTTCCAAAAAGTCATACTCGAGTAATATCTTAAGAGAGACAATGATCACTTCAATTATCTTCCTCTGATTTCATTTTCCACAATGATCATTCCATTTCAGATTATATAATGAGAAAGCATTGTCAGTAAACCAAGATACAAACTAACTATGCAACATCTGCAAGTAATATCACCTCAAGGTATTACACATCAAGATATACTATAAAGGTAAAAAAGTAAAGTTATCCCTGTAACAGGCCATGAAGGCCCATAGGGTTGTGAGACGTTGAGGGTCCCACATTATCTAGACAATTGGCTCAAAGATGGCGGTAAGGTAGTCAGCCTTTCACGCCGGCCGCGCATTACTCCACAGGAAAATTATTTTATTTAATTCCTGGTATTCATTTCTGTTAGAGGCTGAGTGCCATAGTGCGGCCAGAAGAATTAGGTCAATTGAAAAAAATCCAATGACCTCATCGGTATTTGAATCCGTGACCTTCCAACTTGTAGCATAGTGCCTTAACCACTACGCTACCACGTGCCCCATACTATGAAGGTGTATATTTATTTCTTTGTTTATAACATGAACTACAAAGTAAATATACAGCAAAATTTACAATTCAGTGAAGTCTAAAGTGATGTTAATGCTGAAGTTAACAGTGACAAAGGGACCATTTTCTATTTGTTAAGGAAATATATTTATATAATATATACCATAGTTTGGTACAATTATATCTATGATGACATAATCCATTTACATGCACTGAGAGATAATACAAAATCACAATATACTTGTAGATAATATTACTGTCACATAGACTTTTAGTAAAAAAAAAAAGTATTATTGTCATTAATTTTATTTGGTGTACTTACACTGTCCTTTAAATACATAACTCCTGTTTCCACGTTGCCAGTTTGTTTGATCAAAACCCAGTAGAGTAGTGTCAATTCGAACATTAGATCCCTGCTTGTATACTTTGTATGTGTCACTTGGGCACATTCGGGACACCAAGGGAACTGAAAATATCATAGTGGAAGGACAATGTGAGGCACATATTCAACAGTTGAAATCTTGTAATGAAACTCTCTTCTAAAAAAAAAAAACATTATAAGGCAAGGTACTGGGAAGAACTTACGACACCTATCTTCCCTCAAACGCTTCAACTGTGCTGACAAAACAAACAGGAACCATAAACAACTGCAGAGTATTTTCAGATTTTTATATTCACCAAATTATACGATATACATTAGGTGACACTGCAGCCCTGCCTAAGAAATTAATCCACCAAGGTGACATTATCATTGACAGGAAAAACACAAAAGTCAGAGAACTTGCAGTGACATGATGTTCATACCAAGTCAATGACAATCTGTCACTAATACGAAAATTATTAGGGTAGAGATACACACATTACATGCACTGTACTGGCTAAATATAACAAATGAATACATCAAAGTACTAGTGACTGAGCTTAGCTCTTCCTAATGTAGCTAAGAGAGCAGGAGTTACCATCCCCTCATCTAAGGGTGGAAACAGATCTCAGTTTCTGTGGCGAAGTGTCTTTAAGAATACTGGACGATGGACAAAGTCCAAAAACCTAGAAATCTCTACTCTTACACACTACTGTCAGAATCCTCCAAAATCTACTGTAAGGGCAGTTAAATTGGAAAGGATGAGAATGGGACATATGGAATGCATGGCAGGAGTAAGAAATGTCAACACAGGTTCAGTTGGAAAACTTCAAAGGAATAAGCCACTCTGGTAGTGTAGATATTCTGTGGGAGGAAAACATTAACACAGAGAAATAGATCTTGATGGTAGAGTCTGGAATAAACTTTCTCAAGATTGGGTTCAATAGTAGGCAGTCATGAACATGGTAATGAACTTTTGTATTTGGCAATGAAGTTTCTAAAACAGCTGAATAATTATTAGTCACCCAAAGAACTTCTTAACATCAGACACAGTTTCCACAACATTGTTTTCTAGAATTCTAGATAACAGGCAAAGTCCAGAAAACTAGTAACCTATGCGTTAGAGTTACTAAACAAAGAGTAAAAATCTTATTTTCATTTTTCTGTTATTTCATATCTTTTAGGTTGAATACTAAACAAAACAACTTACCCCAACTTGTGAATTCCCACTTCATCTCCACATAAAAATCAGGAGCCTAGAAAGTTAAAAAACACATATTAAAATGTAACACACATTACCAGTAGACACTAGTACAGTACACATGGAAAGTGATACTTAGATGCAGACTCCATTATGGAAACCATATTCTGCACATTGTGGCTCCAGTTGGAAGCATGTCAAGGGCGAACATCTAGCTCCATAGACAATCCAACAAAAAAGCCAGTAATGCAGTGGCTTGTCTTTGTTCTTATTATTCTTGTGGAATGTTTATTGTGTGGTTCACCTTCATTATATTTTGCTTCACAAGTTGAGCACAGTTGGTTTTCTAATGTGTAATTAATTTATCCTATATCTATATAAATAAAAATGTAAATAGTCTTAAAGCTGTACATTATGCATATTATCATTCACTGATGAAATACGCAATATTGGGGAAATACATCAGACAGTCATAAGGTCTTTGTTATACAAAAGAAAATAATACGAATAATGATTGGAGTGGGCCCAACTCATACATGCAGATTTATTTAAAAAGCTTGATATATTACCAATCCCATGTGTATATTTGCTCTCACTGATGATATTTGTTGTTAATAATTTGGATAAGTTTCAAACCAATAACTCTGTATATGAGATTGGTACCAGAAGGAATGACCACCTTCATATACCTTCAACACATTTATCATCCTATCAGAGAGGGATGTATTAGTCAGGCGGCAAGCTATTCAATACTCTGATGTCAAATATCACACTTTTAAAAAATGATAATAAAGCAATTTAGGTTTTTTTTATGAAATTATTTGCAAAGTAACACATTTCACATTTCACTCCATTGATGAATTTGTTGTGCATCTAAGTGGCTCAAAAGTTAAGAGTTAATACCGTATTTACGCATGTATAGGCCACGTGCGTGTATAGGCCACAGCACAATTTTCAGACAGAAATTATAGAAAAAATAATTTTCTTGGAATATTATTTCAGGAGTAGAAATTATTCCGAAATTTGGCAACGTTAATTTTTTTAAATGAAGTGTGATTTCGAATATAAGCCGCACCCCAGTTTTCCTCTTGAATTTTTGGCAAAAAATGTGCGGGCTATACATGCGTAAATACGGTAAATGGTCTGTGTGCGTGAATTATACATTGTTGAGACTTGATTGTTGTAAGTGTAGTAGTATGTATGTTGTCGTTTTTTGTTATGAATTTTAATATTTTATAACGTAACTGTTCGGATGATATGGCTTGCCAGTGTGTGTGGAATGGCAATGTGTGAATCTGACAGTGGTTTTTCCACGACCTATATGTGTTGTCCTGACAACCTGAGCTATTCTGTCTGAGGCTTAATTTTGTATTTTATTGACCAAAGGGCGAATGATGTGTAGTCATCATGAATTTGTAATGTGTAACATGTTTTATATCCAGCCATATGGGGAGATGATTGGATCCACGAAATGAAAAATAAATGTAAATGTAAATGTGCATTATTATCACAAGGCCAAGCAGTCATGACATTTGTTTACAGGTAAGATATGAACTGTTTACACAAGGTTTTATGGTTATGAGTACCTCTTTAAGTTTCTGCAACAACTCTGGAATACCACCAACTCTGCTTGAATATCTTTGGAAGTCCCTTCTCTCAAGAACTAGCTGCAGCAATTCTGGGTCACCTGTGGCAACAGCTTCCTGGACCACTGGAAAAAAGTGAAACACAACAGCATACTTTCAATATGATGAACATAAGTGAACTATCTAATCAGCTTTCCAGTAGTAGAATGCAGAGGTTAAAATCACCCACAATGACACAGAACATGATCTTCAGCCTGTCTGATCCACCTTCCATCCTCCTAACCTGTTTACTTCAAATTTACTAAAATGTCATCCTTATTATTATAATAATAGTACAATACATAATAGCGTTCTTTTTTTTTCTTGTGGATAAGAATTGAATCAAATTATCCAAATTTTCAGTTATTTGAACCACCTTTGTTACTAATTAATTCAGATAATCAGAGCTCTACTGTACCAATCAATGTTCATCTCCACAAAAATAAAAAATTCTATGGAACCAACATATTAAAAGTTGTACTAAACTACCTCAGCCAACAATGAAATAAAATACCTGTCCACCCCTCTCTGTTTTCTGTATTAACATTGGTTGCATGTTGCAGAAGAGTTCGAGCTGATTCTAAATGGCCCAGAGTGACTGCCAGCATGAGAGGTGTACGGCCCCGGGCATCATGTTTCTCCTTGTCATACTGAAAGGAATTCTAACATTAATTACGGACTTCCCATTATCAGTAACTTATCAGCTGGTTTGCACATTTTATCTATTTTCCCAATTTTGTAAGTAAAGGTAGGTTCATGGCATTATTATGTCAATATATGTGTGCGTGTCTCTTTACACCTAAAGTACAGATTTTCATGAAATCAGCTAAGAACAACATGTCACTTGAGGTAATCACACTTCATATTCTGTAACTGTCTACCAAAGACAATACCATCAAAGATGGTTATGTGAACTTCTGAGATTGAAGCAATAGGCCTACAGCAAAATATAATGTAAGGCCCTGAAATGTTCTTCAGTGATGTTTTTAGAAAATATGAAACATCTCATAATGTTGTATTTTAGCGTCCTGTTGCACTGATTTTCATCCATGATATGTATACAGTTGCCGTCTTGTAGTGCACTCAATTTCACCTGTTACTTCATGACATGTTTATAACAGAAGAAGAATATCAACATAAAATAATGACATTTATACAAGAAAATAATTTTACACTAATTAACAAAAACCCAACACAACAATACCAGAATATAATTAAACAAACAATAAAACTATGCACAAATACAATACAAATAGAACAAAATGGAAATACACAAACATGAACCCTACAGCCCCAAGTATACACGTGACAATAAAACTACATAAACATAACACACCCATCAGACCCATAATCAATTGGAGACATGCTCCAGCATACCAAATAGCAATACTAATATCTAGGAAACTAAAAGAATACTTACAATTACCAAATGTATACATAACTCCAAACAACTAATGAATGATTTAAACACCATCATAATAGATGAAAACATAAGATTATGTTCTTTTGATATAGAAAACATGTATACAAATATACCCAAAAAAGATATAATGAAAATAAGTAAGAATATAATACAACACAGTCATAACATAAACACAAATATACAAAGTGAAATTATGTGCATATTGAACACTATACAAAAATAGGCTAAGAACAGAACACACACCACAAAACACGGTTTACACAGAATACAAGAAAAATGACCCCCATAGTGAAAGAACCACACACAACTTTTAATTATGACACATAAGATGTATAATCTTAACAAGTTTTAGTGTGTGTAAATTTATTACAGTTGACAAATATGCACTTTTTAAATAATTTTATAAAGGCAAGCAATGAAATAGATTAGCATAATTAGGGCACCTGATGATGGCACTATGGTGCCAAAACATGTCGTGAAGTAACAGGTGAACTTGTGTGCACTACAAGACGGCAACTGTATACATATCATGGATGAAACATCTCTTTAGGTCAGTTTTTTGCATGTGATATAACAAAATTGTAACTACAAAAAAACTGTACCTACCTTTCCATTTGATGGCAATATCCATTACAGAATGTGAAATTTTCTACTGAGATATATCCTTAACACACTTAAAATTTTTGATTGATCCTTTTAATATGTTACATTTAAGAAAGATACTAACTGCATTAATCTTTGAGGCTCTGTTTGATAACAGTGAGGTAGTGGAAATCTATAACACCTTAAATTATACCCAGAAAGAGCTCTAAGTTATTACTATAAACTTTCTGCTGGTCTCTGTATAGTTGAACACATTTAATGAAAAATATGGAACACAAGTTCTTGAGTGATTAACAAGTTATCTAACACCACTCTTCCAACATAGGTTATACAGAGATGAATGAGATAAAAATTATCCATAGTGATTACCAGGGCCCAGATTTTGATGACCTGAAAATATTTAAAAAATAACTGAAAGAATCCAGAAAATGACCTAAAATATGACCCAAAAATGTAATATGCAAGGCTCAGATTTTGATGACCTGAAAATATTAAAAAAATGACCTATAAAATGACTGAAAATATCCAGAAAAATGACCTAAAGGAGAAAAGAAAGAACACTTCGCTTCCATGTTATTCACATTTCAGAAAACATATGAAGAAAAATTCCCTAAAATGGCCAAAAAGACAAGAAATACCCTTAAAAGTCCAAAAATTTACCACAAAATTACCCCCAAAATGAAAAAATGACCTTAAACCTAAAAATGTCAAAAAATGACAAAAAATTACCTATACGATGGGGTACCCAAAAGAAACCGAACTAATTTTTTTGTGGGCAGAGCTTTTGTAGTACCGCATTTTGCCACTATGAACGCATAGAGCTAACATTCCTGAGTCGATAAGCCGACTACCGTTGCTTCAGAAGGTAAGGACTAGTTTCGGCAGAGTTTATAGCGACAACTGTTTTGTGTGATCGTCGTTTTTGCAATGGCTGATTTTCGTGAACAGCGTGCGGCAGTGAAATTCTGCTTTTTGCTCAGGAAAAGTGGAACAGAAACTCTTGAAATGTTAAAAACGGCGTACAAGAACGATGCTATGGAGAAAACTCAAGTGTTTGAGTGGTCTTCCCGTTTCAAAAATGGTGAAATGTCAATTGATGACAAACCTCGTTCTGGTCATCCTTCCACGGCCCGAACACATGAAAATGTTGAAAAAATTCGTGAAATCGTCAAGGAAGATCGACGACGGACCATTGAAGAAATTGTGGAGCTGTCGGGAGTGACTTGGAGCTCAGCGGCCAGATTTGTGGCAGTCAGGTGACTTGTTTTTCCATCATGACAATGCCCCTGCTCACACAGCCCTGTCTGTACGACAATTCTTGACCAAAAATGGTATGACCCCTGTTCCTCACCCTCCATAGTCACCTGACCTTGCCCCATGCGACTTTTTTTTGTTTCCTCAAATGAAGAGAGACATGAAAGGAAAAAACAACAGAGGCGCTGTCAAGCATCTCAAAATATGAATTTAGACAATGTTTTGAAAAATGGAATAAAAGACTAGACAAGTGTATTAGTGTAAGTGGAGAGTACTTTGAAGGGGATTGAAGGTTTGTGCTTAAAATTTGAATAAATAAGTTTAAAAAAAAATAAGTTCGGTTTCTTTTGGGTACCCCCTNAAATTTACATTTCTGTAACCAGCAGCTCATATCCGAGATTTATATGTTTAAGAACATCGCATGACATGTCATCAAAATCCGGGCCCTGGTGATTACAAAAGCATTTGGAAGGCGTGTCATATCCTACTTCAAGGTATTATCCTGACATTTTCCAGGACAGATGAAAGAGAACTACATGAAAACCTATGTCATGTTATCCAGCAATCCAACTGAGACTGACACCAGGTACCTGCCAAATAAAAGTCTAGAGCATTATAACAATACACCAACCTGGTCAGTCACATGTTCTTCTCAGAACTTCTTGGTTCACATTATTTTGTGAAAGATAAGAAGAGTGATTACTGTGTCAAACTGCACAGGACACAGTTGTCTCAAAATTAATGTTTCTTCTTTCTCACACACACAGAAATAATGCACTGTGATCATAAGAAAACTGACTGATCTCAGGTTTTCAACTCAGAAGTAAAAAGTACGTATGCCAGGATTAAAACTGTCATTTCTGATATGTCTTTGTCCATTTTTAAGAAAAATGAAGAGTTCTATCTTCTGGAGTATAATGCCATGTAATCTGTTGAAAGTCAACCAACATTTCCGAGGAATACATCACCCTCCATCTCATCGGGTTGAACAGCATGCCAAGAAAGTTTTGCTTGATGACTGTCTCACACTGATATCCTGCCCAGCCTACTCCTCAACCCCTAACATGGAACTGACATGCTCCTCCAAAACATCAGCCAACTCTCAACAGACCACATCATGCTATGTCCCAAAAACAGAACTCCTCACTGACACCTCTGCCTGAACCTCAAATCCTACATAAATTTTGATTTTCGTTTCATGCATCCTGTTGTATTATAATATACAACTTCTTTATTACAACCGTCACAACACAACTAATATCAAGATCAGTGCCTAGTTTTGGTTCTGCTACATGTTTTGGCTAATAATAGCCATCATCAGGCAAATACATGGTTAACATATATACACCACTGAACCACAGTACTAGTAAAATTGGATACAATATTATTAATTATATAAAATACTTGATGTAAAAATACAATAAATTAGATTATATAAAACAAAAGTTATGGTATAAAACAAGAATAAAATTCTTCGATTGATGTTTTACATCATCGAATCAGTTCTTGGTTTTTGTAATTTTGTTGCGTTCCCATGGGCAAATTGGAATATTCTATATTTTGTGTATATATAAAAAATGTATTGGAGGAAAAAAAAATCCCGACAAGGAATCAAGTTTTCTATTGTGAACTGAGTGAAGTTACCAGTTACAGAAGTGAAATCTGGTTACTAGAGCATATGGCTGCAAAGGGTGTGTAGATGTAGTTTCAATAACTTCATTGCAATTCTCCAAGTACTTTTCAATACACCCATTTCTTGTGCAAGGGACTTAAGAAACTTACAAGGAAATATTAAATCTGAGTTCCCCTTTTCTTCAACTTCTCTTTGATATTATTTGATGCTAATATTTTGGTATAAAGTCTACTAATATGATACTTGTTCTTAGGCAAGCTCTATTTTCTGGCACATAATGCCATTTAATCAACTGAAAGTCAACCAAAGTTTTGGTGGAACATGTCACCTACATTTTCAGGGCCAATGAATATGCCAAGCAAGGAACCAGTATGAAGAATGTAGTTGTTCTTAATTTATTACAAGATTGTGAAAATATTTCTCTGGGAAACTCATACTCCATGAAATTGTTTCCTTAAACTTGAAACAACTGAGAGTTTTAAAATTGCAAAACTTGTAGTGTGCTTTGCATGTCTGAGAGCAGTAAATACATGAATAAAAAGTTGACACTGTGCAACAGGATGCTACAATACAACATTCAGTACATACTATTTTAAGAAAAGGCTGTGTGAAACCTGAGTGCATTGCTTCATAATTAATGAAAATTCTGGACAGATAACAGGAAAAGGCTAAATTATGTGAACTTTACTACAGGTTTTGTTTACATATATATTTTTTATTCAAGCGTGGGGAAAGGTAAGATCAGACTTCCGTTCTGGGTTCAATTCAGGATACACATGCCTGTTTCTGTTCATATTACTGGCCACTCAAATTCATGATTTACTAACCAGCTTCAGAAGTTATACATTTGTAGGTTATTCAACAATACTGTTAGTAATTTTGACTACAGCACTGGATGACTAGATGACAGTTTATAATGAACTGGAAAGGTTGTGGAAGAAAGTAGTCATTGTCCAATCTGAGATATTACACTAGAATTATCTTGCGGGGGGATTAAGGAAAATTAAGATAAACCTAAGTCAGGTTGGCGTACCGGTCAAGATTCAAACTGGGTATTTCTTGAATACCACTCAGCAACTTCATTTGCGATAAGGTCATACAGTACTGCTGGGTCAATTAAAAAATTCCCTTTTGTTATCAGACGGATCTAAAATCCTGAAATCTGTCTCATTCATCGATCACTGCAAGAAAATGAAGCGATGAACACAAATTCTCACCTCTTTTCATATACCTGGCATATTCCGCCTCTGGTTACTTCCTGAAACTGATGACAACTGAATAAGAAGCGCGACTTCAGATCAGTACTTTAAAAACTCCATTCATTAGTTTTCAAATCGTGTTTATAAATGAATGATGACAACTCTGTGCTTCAAATTAAGCTACACGCAGACGTACCTAGTTCGTTAGGACCGCTCACCTTCCAATGTAGGAGATAAATTTCGATGTAAGAATATTTCATTTTAATCATTCCCGGAGTCATGGTGCTTTACCTACTTTGGGCTCATTTTCAAATAACTTTGACACTTATACTAACCACTTTCTTTGACAACTCCTTATCCAATTCTTTATATTCATTGTTCCACACAAGCCAATGTAAAGGATATTCACTTTTTATAAAGTCAATGGAAGGCATTTCAACACAATATTTTTATAAGAATGGTTCCAATTATAAACTAAACTGACATAAGAATTTCTTTCTTGATCCCATCAACACTAGCCTTAACTAATACCAGTTTCTGCTTTTGCATATTCCAAAGTAGTACAAGGAGATTGTATTTGGAGTTGGGGGTGGGGCAAAGTGGGTTATCGTTGCATTCTTCGGTTTACACCGTTCTTCGTATTTATAATCTCTGTGATCACGTAGCGCAAGCTGCAGATTTGATAATCTTATAGTACATATAAAAGATGGCATAATACTTAATATTGAAAATATCGGTATATAATTTATTAATTTCCAAGGACATATACTGTGCAACTATAAATAATTCTATCTGGACATGGATATTGATTTGGTTGGTTGAATGGATTGAAGAGCCTGTGATGTTGATGTTAATGTCTGTGAGAAGAGAGTGTTGTGATTATCGTGACTGATGTGCATGGTAGAAATATTTGTTAATGATAGTTATTCTCATGTGGTATGCATGTTAAATGGTGGGTGGGAATTTATTACGACCGAATTAATGGGATATTATAATGTCAATTTCCATGTCCAGAGGGAAATTACGGAATGTCCAAGAGTGCGCCGATTGTGGATCATCGGGTGAGTCAGTTTCAGAGCTCAGTTCTAATTACCAAATTTGACTACAGCAACAAGTAAACTTGTTTATATTTTTACCACTCAAGAGAGAGACGTTTCTGTAGCGAATTTTTGTATAAATTTCGTGTTTAATAAAACCGGTGCGAAAATTAGATCAGTCGTAGGTTACAGCGATTTGTGTTCACAACAAATTCCCAGCTTTGTGGAGTAGAGTCCTGGGCCGCCTCCAATTTAGAATTTACTTCTGAAATCACGAATCGTTTATATAGTTGGTAGGGCTAGGGGACGGCGATCGGCCCGTCGCAAGGCCACTAAGACAGGTCAAGACAAACAGAAAAAAACATAGGGGTATAATCTTGTCCCGAGTGGGATTCGAACCTGCTATCCCATTGTTCTCGCAGTTCAACGTAGTAGGCGCCTTAGACCGCATGACCACTGTGCTGTACGCTATTAGCTGCCAGAAAATATCAATGTGAAGACATTTCACGTACTTTCTCATATTCAGTTGACCTTAATTGTTACCCTGGATACGAAACCATTGTTGGATACTATACAAATTAGACTATGTACGCGTTGCATAATAGTTATTGTTCAATCATTTCATATACGCCCAAGCGATTGCACCCTTGTATCCTAAAATAAATATTTTATAAAAATTAAAACCCCAAAATACAGTACATGAATGACCAATATGCCTTTTTAGAGAAATTTCACATTTGGTCCCGTAATATGTGTACAGTCATTTTCCTAAAGCTAACAGGTATGGAATTTTATTTAAGGCAGTGGTTTCCATAAACTGAAGAAATATAATGAAAATTATTAGTAATTTTGTTTTTCAGGACCCATCTGAAGGTCCCCAATTTTTGGACGTAGAATATTCATATAGTGGATATGTACAGACAGCATTCTGTTAATCCGCTTTAGTATATTCAGGGGCGCTGAAAACATGTAAACTTATCAGAACCTCAAGATCAGTTTTTTCAATAACACAGTACAAGTAAAATGCAAATATTGTGTGTAGCCTATAAGTCACATCCCTTGTCATGTAAATAGGCCCCCTTAGCAACAGTAGGTCCTTTGCCCTGGGTGATAGAACATTAAGAGTATAACAACATTACAGAAAGAATGCACCTTTATTTGTGTGCTGATTTTACCACTAAAACTAGGACTTTGTATATTTCTTTCCGTATAAATATTCTTACATTATAGTACTGAGTATTGCTCCCCAACTAAGAGGTACATTAATTAATGTACCTGAAATGCCTAGAAGTTCGTTTGACAAGAATTAATAAATATGAAAACTGGTAGTGTAAATTTTGTTGTATTTTCATATGTAAATTTATGCTTTTATTGTGCATTTTCTCAAGAAAACTGCCAGTTGTTACTTGATACCATTTTTATAATTCTAAGAACCTGTTTGGTTTATCTTTCTTTATAGATCCATCATGGGCATCAGTTAATAGGGGTATCCTGTTGTGTGACGAGTGTTGTAGTATTCACAGAAGTTTAGGTCGTCACATTTCTCAAGTGAAATCATTAAAAAAAGGGTCATGGAGTTCTACATTACTTCAGATGGTACATACTCTCAATAACAATGGTGTAAACAGTGTTTGGGAACACTCTCTGTTAGACCCAATGCATTCAAAATCAGGACGAAAGAAACCCCACTTCAAGGATCCTCTCCAGTAAGTAACAAAATAAAAAACTACAGTGAGGTTTATGAATTGTAAAAGAATTGTTTCTAGAAGCTGTCTTTATGAAGGAAATTTGCATGTGGCCTAATACTTCTAGTACCAGAAGGTCATTCAGTGTCAAATAGTTCTAGGCCTCAACCTGATCCCTTCACATTCTACTGAAATTTGGTGAGATAAAACACTTCATGGAGCACGCGGTAGCATAGTTGGTTGAGGCACTGTGCTACAAGATGGAAGGTCACAGGCCCTGGGGTCAACTCAGCCTCTAACAGAAATGAGTCCTAGGAATCTTGCTGGCGGGTAAAGGGCAGCCGGTGCATAAGGCTGACAACCTTACCGCCATCTGTGAGCTGATTGTCTGGAGAAAATGTTTGAGCCTCAGCATCTCTTAACCCTATGGACATTCATGGCCTGTTATAGGGATAGCTTTTACAATACTTCATAGAAGAGAGTAACTATGCCAGTTTCAGATCTGTGTCTATAATGATATTTGAAGTTATAAAAAAGAATGTTACTTCATGGCAATAGTTGATGTTTTTAAATTACTATGACTGTGTTTTTAACTAAGGTATAAAGCAGAAATTCATCTCATTTTAAAGGGATCTGAATTACCTTTTTCAGTGAAGTACTACATACTACACTGAACTGCCATGGGATTCTTTCTATCTATTCCTGTTGCTCCAACTTGGAACACAGGACATCCATGACACACTTTGTTTCACTTCAGTTTCTTAATCTTAGACAGTTGGTAGGACTCCTTGGACAGGGGATCAGCCCAACACAAGGCCGCTGCCTACACAGGACAACACAAACACTGACGCAAATGCAGATGAACATCTATTACTTGAGTGGGATTCAAACGCATTATCCCAGTGTTTAAGTGGGTGAAGACATTTCATGCCTTAGACTGCCACTGTGATCAGTGCCATGGGATTAGTTGATATAAAATTATATACGTGTATAGCTACACATGTAGTGAAACTGAATGTACCTATAAATTTGGCATGTGTAGGAATAACCAAACAAACTGTAACAGAAGTGCTTCCAGCAAAAATAATTGCAATAGTTTAAGTTAGAAAGGTATAAAAGATATTGATGAAAAACCATGTATGGAGTAAGAGTCAAACCTAAATAAAGAAACATGACAAAGTTTTCGTGTTTGTTATTATTAATATTCGTTTATTCTTCTTACGTAGGTCATCCAGAAAGTAAAGAATGTTTGGTGATTAAAAATAAATGAATAAAATTAAAATGTTGCTTTACATTATTACTACAGACCTTAAATAACTTTTCTACATAATTCCCATGATGATTCAAGCATTTGGCTTATCTTGTGATGAGTTTCTATATGCCTGCATCATAGAAATCTGCTGCCAGTCCATTGAACCAGTCCTTAACTGTCTTCTGCACTTCTTCATCGCTACCCACACATCTGATGCTTATGTCCAGTGCTTCCTATAGAAACCATAAAGCGAAAAAGGTTTTCACTGTATTTAGTGAGTTGTGCAAACTGTGAAATTCCTCATTAGGCTGCACAAAATTAGCACTCACTAAAATAATAATAATTATTATAATGTACTGCACAGCTTCTTATAGCACCCATAGTAGGAGTGCATATACAAGTAGTCTTGCTTGAGGAGTGTGAAGTCAGAAATTGTTTCTGTTTCCTTCAAAACATAAGCAATCTTGTTGCAAAATGAATCAAATTTGTCATCTGTTACCAAATTTATTAATAGGCCTCATACTGGAATCAGCTCCATTCTGTCTCCAGTGATAACCATAGGGCTTTGTAATAATTCAGTAATCACATGAACATCCGACTCCTGATGGCATCCCTCAGAGACGCTTTCCTGAAGAGAAATATCCTACATTTGAACAAAACTTTATCATAAAATGAAATTACACCCAAATTGACTGTAACAAAAAGAGATATAATGTCTTTTTGATTGATAATAATTTTACAGCAGTTGTGCAATTCAGAAAGACTGGACTGCGAGGCTTGCAGTTCATCTTTATGTGACAGAATGTACAAGCATGTCTCAAGCCAATGTTTCTTTCTGTGACTGAAGATACTGATTTTATGTAAACTTTTTACACTTTAGTCCAACCAAAGCAGATTTCATCCGAGCGAAACATCAGATGTTGGCATTTGTGTTTCGACCTGGAAAAGATGAGACATTATTATCGGAAGATGACCTCAGTAGGCAGCTTCACTCAAGTGTTCGTACATCCAATTTGGAAACTAGCCTTCGCCTGCTTTCCCAAGGAGCAGACCCAAATTATTTCCACGAGGTACATATGTGTATTCACATGGTCAGTATTACTCTGTACAAAAATTTCTTTGGACAGCACCCACAAGCTCTTTTTTGTGAGTAAAGTATCTGGAGCATGAAGGTGAATATACACATCCGTCTAGAGGCAAAGACAAGAGTATATGCAGTTGTATTTTCATGACTTCTAATGGTCTCCATATTATGATGCTTAGGCATTATTTATGTCTACTAAAACAGCACAGCATAATGAAATTATGTATAAGTATATAATAGTTTTAGCATATAAATGAAAATGGCTTTATGATATCATTGTGTGCACCGCATCTGTGTGTGACTCACCTGATACTGTTTGAACCAGTGAACAGATTTTCATGAAGCTTGGAAGCAGGAGGATGCTGTAGAATTTGGACTGAATGCTGACACCATGTACCAAGAAGTAAATAATATAATATTACTGTGGCTTTTATGAAAGTAGATTGTGTGGGGAAATTTGGATTTATATTTGCCTTTCTCTGAATAGGATTCAGTAACTGACTTTTATGATGACAGTAGTGAACCTTTAAGTTGTAGAATGGAATTCTTTGAGCATCTGCATTGGTATTAACTTCTCATGGAAGATTATATACCATGAAGTCATTTATGTAGTGTCTTTCTAGAAACTAGTGTTCTTCACTATCAAGTGATTTAATTCTGGCACTTGTGAGATTTAAAGTTCTCACAGCAGTAAATATGAAGATTGTTTAAGATTTGAGGCTTTCACGGCGGTGACTATGAAGAAAGCAGTCTTCTGGGATTTGGCACCGTGTATATGTGGTGTTAACCGACGTTTCGGAGGAACGTATCGCCTCCGATACGTTCCTCCAAAACGTCGGTTACCACCACATATACACGGTGGCACATCCCAGAAGACTGCTTTCTTCATGAAGATTGTTGTCTTCTGGGATATAGTCTGGCAGAAAGATAATATTTTGTATAAATTTTCTGCTTCCTCCTCTAGGGTAGATGGAGGTAGCAAGTTCCTCAGAAACACTGCCTTGTTTCTACCAAATTAAAACAGTGTCACATCTCAGAAGAGAATGATCTTGACAGTTCTGTTCATCACCATGTCTTGATTGGTTATTCAGCCTTCTCACGCTCTGACCCAGTGTGTACAGGGACTTCTGCTCTGGAGGCAAAGCACAAAGAGTATGAAGCTGACCACTGTCCACTCCATTAGAATACCTTGCATAGTGACAGCTTTACCCTTTGATACAATTTACTGTATTTAAATAAATTAGTGATCTATGTCTTGAGTCTTATTTGAGGATTACCAAGGATTTATACCAAACTAGTTGATGTAGTTGCTATGCTTTGAGTCTTGTATTTGGAGATAAGTGATTGAAACGTTGACTGGTCTAGCAGTTACCCTGACTGAGCATTTCCCCCGTCCACAGTCACCCCAGATGAATGCCAGGATAGTTCCTTCAAACAGACCACTGCCATCTCCCTACAAATCCTTACGTACTCATGTTTTTCTTTCTGTCTCATTCAGTGCCATGTAACCTATGTAGTTAAAAGAATAATATTAAAAAGCCTAATAATCACTCAGATATTTATTTATGTTATTCCCTTTTGGGGATATTATAGTAATGGGACTTGGTGTATTTATATCTGTACAATAAAGAACCTTTTATGATGGGTTATATTACAGGCATGTATACACATAATTTGTTTATCGGCAGGAAAAGGGAACTACACCTCTGCATGTTGCAGCAAAGGCAGGGCAGGTGTCACAAGCAGAGCTGTTGGTGGTGTATGGAGCAGATCCTGGGGCTGAAGACAGTCAAAGGAAAACACCTGTTGACTATGCTAGGTGTGATTTAAAGTTCATTTCAAATTAAACATTGTAGAAAAATCAAATTTAGTTTTTTACCACCCTAAAATGTGTGTTTGTATGTGCCTCTGTCTGTGTGTGAGAGAGAGAGACTATAATGACATGGCAGGTCATCCCTCTGCAGGTGGCGGCCAGCTTCTTCAGGGACTCCCCATTGCCCTGGGTCTGTTCCTTTGGCTTTCAGCAGTACTGGTCCCCATACCTCTTGATCAGTGCTCCAAAAGTTTCCACTGCAGCCTCTTCTTTAGGGACTTTCTCATGCACCACTGCAGACTTCATTTCATCTGGATTTGCCTCTATCTTTTATGGATAGGGCTTTGACACTTCTTAGTTGGCTTTCATCTGTTTTCACTAGGTCCTCATGTCCTCTGTGATCTCCTTTAGGGTGGTGTCTGTTTTTTCTTGGACGGCGTTCATCTTGACCAGTAGGTGTTCTATCATTTGTTCCATTCCCATAATGTGGAAGTATAATGATCAAGATCCAGTGTAGTGTCCAATCCAACCACCACATCTTCTGACACCATATGTCACATAGACTATGGACAGGGTTTGGATTGGTGAATGGATTTATTGACCACTTATATACTCGACTGGGAACCACAAGCAATTACAGCACCACCACTAATCTCCACAGTTCACAAATCACCACAGCCCCTGCTAAGCCTTTTTTAGTTTGCTGTATCTTCATCCTTTCCCTGGCAATGGCTTCTAACATTGGATATTCTTCAGCTTAACATGCTGATGTCCTCTCTTCACAACCTTCTGTCACTGCTATCAACTAACTTTTTCCCTTATAACATCTCAGCATGGACCACATAGAAAACACTATTCTTCTGTTGTGTGCATGTATATTGTGGGCGTTACCTAGCAACGGCTGCTGTTTATAGAGTCATTGTTTAGCAACAGGTCTATATGCCACACTATCAAACAAACTGAGAAAGAATACAATACTTTGAACCCTAGCAGTAAATTTATTCTTGTCTACACAGCTGAGGCAACTTAATGTGTGTACTGGGTCCAAATTCCTCTTTCTAAGATTTCCTTGATCTTCCCCTTATTCTTTGTTTTCCCTTTAGTCTAATCTGTCTTTGACTGCTTTACACATTCTCTGCGCAAGGCATTCCCATGTTCTGTTATATGTACCAAGCAAGCTGGTTCAAGTAGTAATGCTCCTGACTTGTATTCAGGAAGTAACCAGTTTGAATCTGTGTCAGGGCACTGACCATCCTGACATAGGTTTTTGTGGTTTTCCCCATTCCCTTTAGCCAGATGCCAGAATAGTACCTCAAAGTAGGCCACAACCATTTCCTTCCACATTCTTTCCAATTAGTCACATATCCTACCATTCAGCATTATATAGTACAGCTACTGAGAGCATCATGAAATAAACAGCACATAAATACAATTTTTCTGTATTTCATGATCTCAATCATAGAGCATGGGTCTATATTTATCACATACTTCAGTATTATGTTTTTTTTTGTTTAATTTTTATGCATGTGTGCTATACTACTATCTTGTCTCTTATTTCATTTCCATATCTTGTTATTGTATTTTACCACTAAATGACCAGTTCTTTTTATAATTTCAAGTATGTATTCTTAGATGTTAATTCACCAAAGTTGGCACTAACTTTACCGACAAGCAGCGATCGCTTGGTTGGTATAGTTCGCTTGCGGACTCGAACCACGGAGTTTCTGTAAATTAGAACTTATTCATTGTAAAATTTATATATAAATATTGTTTCAGGCTATCAGGGCACAAAGATCTAGGAGATCGTCTTGTGGAATGCATGTATGAACTAACAGATCGTTTGGCATACTACTTGTGTTCACGGAAACCAGATCACCAAATTGGACAGCATTATATTATTCCTGAGATGTCAGATAGTTTAGATCAAACAGAACTTGCCAAAGTTGCCAAAAAGAAACTGCAGCTGGTAAGTAATAATCATGTTTGTCATAATTTCATTTGTAATTACTTTTTTTTCTTTGAAAATGTTGATCCAGAGCTGTTGATTACATATCATGGTAAAATGAAATTTACTTTTTAAGCTATGTCATGGAATCGGTATTACACAAAAACCTTCTTATAATGTTATTGATTGCAATGTGTTCCTATAAGTAACGTTTATATGTCACTCTCCGTTATATTGAAAATAATTATTTTCTTCATCTAATGCTTTTGCTCTGGCGTTAACATTATTTGGTTTCCAGAAAACACTGTGCAGTGTAACTGTGATAGAATGAATATGACTTATAACAGTAACTTCATTATTGTGAGAAATGATATAACTCTTATAGTTTCTTAATACAGTAAACCATTGCTAATGCAGATTAGTGAAGCAAAAGGTGGCCATAAAGACAAAAATATTTTGAAACACAAATAAATTAAAACTTTAATATAAATATTGGTGATGAAAATATATAAAAATATCACTATAGAACATTTATCTAAAAACTATAAAAGACAATACATTTATTCATCAATAGAAAATTCAGAAGTTATGCTTGTTTTTGAATGTAATAATGCAGGTTTGAAGAAACTGTCAAATTTTGTCTGAACAGACAAGTGACTCATTTGCCTTCCTAAATGCCATATGTGTTTTAAAGTATGTACTCAAGTGTGAACAGCATTTTTTGTATTTCAATCTGGATTAACTGTAACCAGATTGGCGAGGGTTTACTGTATTATATTCATGGAAATATCTCACATAAACCATCTTCTTTATCATGCGAAGTGATTCCTAATGAGTCATGATTCATTTTCCATGGCTTTTGTTTTAACTGTACTTGCAGTCTTATTTCCCAAGGTGTCTGTAGTGGGCAGTCCAAAAGTACCATAACCCATCCCTGGGCCTCTGTTTTGTGTTGAAGAAGAATGTCCGCATTCCAGGATCTGAGAATTATATGTCTGAATAGTGAATTTATTCAGCTTTGAGTCGGAAGTGCTTAATGTTCATGTGCAGCTTTGGTCTAATATGCAATCATAATACACCTGCTGGCTCATAATTTTACATAATTGGGAGTAAGACACAATGTTTATAGGACCTCATTGGGCACAATTGGTGGCTTCAAGGTCGAGGCCCCTGTAGATTTTAGTCAGTAAGAAATGATTGTGTAACATCATCTGAACTTCCTTTCAGTACAGTAGCTTGTTTCATTCGGCCATTAAAGAGGGGCTGAGAATTTCTTTTGATTGTTCTCCTTGTTAATTTGAAAAGTGTTTAATCCTAATTATGGGAATGGAATGAATGCAAGCGTTTTCTCTTTGAGAAAATTACCATCAGCACGTTAGCTACTATTTACTTGTTGTAAATGTTATTTCAGTTGCCAAACCATTTGTTTGAGGAGTTGGCCATGGATGTATATGATGAAGTGGATAGAAGAGAGACTGAATCAAGTAAGTACTAGGATCTCAGTAACATATGTGACATGTCCATCCCTGAATATACAGTGCATAGGACGCACTGAAGTTAAAGCATGTGGTTGGAATAATGTACGTTATTCACTTTTGTATGAATCACACTTTTATTGCAGTTCTTTTGAGTCTGAAAACAAGGGTTCAGCTGTTGCATGAATAATTCCTAAAGGATACATTGCCTCAAAGAGAGCATGTGACAGTTCCTTGCCACTGCACATCCTTGATGACCCAGAATTCCTTGTGCCATGCGTAATTTTATTTCGCCTTTTGGCAAGCTGCATAATGACTTTCATTTACCGTTATAAGTTTCTTTTATGATAGCGATTAAAGTTTTTTTTTTCTTTTTAGTTTGGTTAACAACCTTGAAGTCATCAACTGTGCTGGCACCAGAACGCTGCACTGTGCCCTTTCTCCCAGTTAACCCCGAGTTTTCATCAACCCGAAATCAAGGCCGTCAAAAGCTGGCTCGTTTTAATGCACGAGAATTTGCAACACTCATTATAGACATTCTGTCCGATGCTAAACGTCGTCAGTCGCCTACAGTATCATCTTCAGTACTGTCACAAGGTAAATGCATTACATTTTTGTGGGAAAGTGTTCAGTATTTCGAGGTTTCTCAGCCTGTATTTTTTGCTGACCCTCCATCGTCTCCTTTTCAGGGAATAGAAACTTCCCTGTGACCCCCTTAATAGGTTTATCAAGAGTTTACAGTTCTTATAATACATAATCTCCAGTTATTTTTTGGTTAATGAACACTAATAGTGGATTGAAGAAGATTGCAGTGTGCTGGAGAAACAGTTTGGTGGGCAAAACGAGAAATTTGTAAAGTTAGTCATTAAGAAAACTAGGTTGGAGATGGAAGTATAAAATTAACCATAAAGAAATATGTTATGCAAAAGTGAATTGAATTACCGTATTTACGCATGTATAGGCCGCGTGCGTGTATAGGCCGCAGCACAATTTTCAGACAGAAATTATAGAAAAAATAATTTTCTTGGAATATTATTTCAGGAGTAGAACACCCTGTATTACTAATTACGAATATAATTTTTTTTNAAATGTGTAAAATTAGTCATTAAGAAAACTAGGATGGAGATGGAAGTATAAAATTAACCATAAAGACATATGTTATGCAAAAGTGAATTGAATTAAATTGGCAAAGGAATGTATTCCTGTAGTTTGAGACTCATGATGTACAATAAAATAAAAGATTTATCAATATAATGAGAGATTTTCCTTTCCTAATTGTCATCAGAAATTAAAATACCTCAAGTGAATAAAGTACCAGGAGGCCCACCAACAGTTCCTGTTGATGTGCGTCAGCCAGGAAGGAAGTCTGAAGTCTCTGATGATGAACCTCTGTATGATAGTGTTGCATCAGATGAAGATTACATAGCAGCTGAACAGATGGCAGTTTTGGCCCAACAGGCAGCTAATATGAAACTGCAAGAGAGCAAAAGTGTAATACATGAGGTTGGTAAAATGTTGCCCAGTTCAGGAAAGTTGTCATAAATTAATGGAAGGTAATTGGCATTCTTTTAGATAATACACCATTTTACAAATATCTGGTTAACAAATGGTTGCAGTAGTGCATTTAAAAATTACTTTGTATAGGTGTGTGTGGGTGTGGAGATATCCTTGTATGTGTGCAGGTGTATATGCACCCCTCCCCCCCACACACACACACAGTAAAAGCATGCAAAGTTGTACAAATATTATGTTCCTGAACATCTGTTGTCCTGTTTTTATTTAAAACACAATGTTTTGGCATTTTAAATAAAAACAGGTAGATGGATAATTTCCAGGAACATAATATTGGATACCATCATCATAATCTTTTAGATCTTGTGGCAAGTTGTGTTGACAGTTTCAGCTCTGCAGGTAGCAGATGCAGACCTTTCCTTTGACCCTCACAACTTGTACCATGTTCTTTGTTTACTTTGTATACTGAGGACTGTACATTTTTATGAATCATATCTCAGTGTTGTAAATAGTACTGATTATTTCAAAGTTATCTATGGCCTTGTGTCACTGTGCCTGTAATTATTGCCTTGAATCCTTTAAGACATACTAGTTACTTTATGTACTACCATCTTTGACAAAAAAACTCAACATTTTTCCCCACACAGAATGTCTCTGTGTTTCATATGACCCTCAACATTAATTGTTTCCTTAAAACACCATTCAGCAGTTGATCATTAAATGGAAACAGTATGTTTCCTGTGATGTATGAACTGACTTTTTCAACATTATTTGAATTAAGTTCAGGCTTCACATTTTAACTTTAATAAGTGACTTTCAGGGATTGTATCATTTTCATGAAATGAAAATCTGTATGTTCAGTACATCCACAAACACAATACATTGAAGTTAGGTATTCCTTCATGGAGCAATGCTGATTTTAAAATGATAGTAATTATTATGTGTAGTGAACCTTTAACTTATAAAAATATGATTATCATTGCAAATGTTCATTGTTATAATTCTTTGTTGAACAAAGTAATTTTCTTCTTCACTTTCATTTATTCTAGGAGGTTATTATGATACTTATTATTTTAGTGATGCCAGAGGTTTGTGATTTATTGTGTTACATATATCAGAATGATATAATGAAATTTTTACTAGCACTCCAAAAGGCAGAACTGAACTGTTAAAGAGCATTTACATTTGCAGTTCAGAAATGTATTAAGAGGGTATTTGAAACATTTAAACATATGAAGTTTTAACACTATAAATTTGAGTGAAGAATATTTATAACATAGGCTCTGAAGTAGTCCTTTGTTTTAGTTATGTACTGAATGTCAGCATGAATGTACCTCATTGAGTTTTGTTCCAAAAGTTATCCATGAGCAAGAGACTACTATGGCTGTTATTAATGATTCCTTTTCTCCTCTTGACTCCTTGATACAGAGCAATGAAGAAAAGACTGCACAGGAGAAGAAGGCGTCTACACCCCCAACCACAGAAAAACAAAATGGTCTACTAAAGGATAAATCTGAGGTACACAGTATTATAAGGCATTGAGAATTGGTATGTGTTTTGTATTAGCATTTAAGTTTTATATTACTTACTGAATTCAACGTCAGTGGTCACACAACCACCACCTCATCACTAAAGGATTCATTTCTATACCAAAACAATCTGTAATGGCTTTACAGTGAACAACGTGATGATGGGACAGAATTATGTATGATGCTGTCTGACAAGATTTAAAAATGTCAATCCAGATGAAAATACTCCCAAGGACCATGATGGGAAGATTATTTTGTAATATCTGCAGGAAATAGCAGGAAAGATGATTGTAATGATGAAGGTACCATGTAAACATACCCATCATCATAACAGGTTTCATTTGGAGGAGTTCCCTCCACTGTGACATACATCTATCAGCATTCCTGCATGCTTTCTCCTGCAACCTCCATGAATTCTGTTATTGTGGTGAGGGGGACCTCCAGTACAAGGCCTTCATTTTGATTATGGATCAGAAAGGTAGCACAATTTATCATTGTCAGTGATAACTCTGTCCAGAATGCCTGGATTACTATGGACTCTGTTAGTCATGTTCCCACTAATGACTGATCATTGTTCATGCTGATCCTCTATGTGATTTGCTACTTGCCACAACAGTGATTTCAGTACGTCATCTATAGCCCTCTCAGATGAACCCTCAGACATGGGCAGTAGTCTCATGAGCTGTTACATGATATAACATGAGGATGCAGTGTAGTATCCTCAGTGTAGATGTTATTTAGAGTTACTTTGTCACTTTCATTGTTCCAGTTCAGTAAATTGCAGTCTTTACAAAATGGTGGAATAGCTTCAATACAAGAGAATATAAAGAGACAACTTGCAGCTTCAGAGAGTGAGATGGGAGATCTAAGAAGTGAGATCCGAATTCTGCAGTCAACGGTAAGTTGAGTGTTTTATAAAATGACTGACCATCATAGCTTTCAATGAAGGAACTTGTGTTCTAGGGATGTACTGTTTTAGTTGCATAATTCCCTCCCTACCCCCTTTTTCACATTTTTGAACCCCAAAGAATGAGGGGGGGGGGATTACATGAATTTTATTGTTACTCTAGAATGCAAATACTTTCTTGCTTGCACATAATACCATATACTACTGCTGTGTTTAAAAAATGCTCATTAGTAAAACTAAATAAAAAATTAAGAAACTGAGAATTTTGGTCTTCTGCGCGTCTGATTGAAGTGATAGTGGCATGCAAGAAGATGTGGAGGGGCAGCGGCTGTAATTGCATAAAGCTGGCACTGATGCCCTGAGGAAGGGGAGAAGGATAAAATGTTTATTTGGTAAACTATAAATGGCAAATTACATACCCATAGCTAGGCATACAATTTTTTCGACCATTTTTAGATAAAGTGACATGCCTTTTCACTAATTCTAAGTAAATGGTATTTTGACAGGACATCTAAAATCTGAAAGCCTCAGAATGGTGGAGGCATGGGAATATCACAGAGTTGTCCATTTGCTAGGCAACAACACACAAATTCCTGCCAGCCACAGCAGTTGAGGTACTGTTCAGAACAGCATTGCCTAGGTGGTCCACTTCTAGGAAAAATAAAGAAGCACAGCAAACAAGGCATTCTAACTAGCTCCTTGTTACACTGCTACCTCATTGCAACAAGGAATTAAGTCAAAGTGATAGCCAGAAGTTTGGAGCCCACTCCTTTTCAGTTTTACCATGGAGTGCCAAGGAACTGAGGAATATCACGGAACATTCTATTAGATATAATCAGAAACCAAGATTGTAGCATGACATTCTTCAGTGCACAAATGGTGTTGAGGCTAGAAGATTTTTTCATTCCCTGTATAAATAGAATATACTGCATCAGAATTATATTATCTGCATATTAATGGGTTTTTTCCCCTAACATTTTAGGTTCAAAATTTGGTGCGTGAAAACAGTGAACTGCGTAGCATCATTCAGCATGCTGGATTGTCTCTCCCTCATCAGTCATCATCATTGTTGTGTTCTTCCCCACTTCCCAATGGTCGTGAAACTGAAACAGAAACAGAACCAGTGTTGGATGTACGGTCACCTCGATCGTCTTTACAGCGACCAGCTTCTATGTATGAACCTCGAGAGGGATTGCTTCTTCGCAGTGGTAGCCAGTCACCTCATATTCATCACTGCATGTCAGCCACAGGAAACATTGGAAAATGGGACAAGAATCAGGTATGAAAATATTGGTCCCATAATTTTGTGTCATTCATGTGTCCTTGAAAATGTATTAGAAATTTTCTGAAAACTTGAGAACTAGTGTTTCTCAGGCTAACATCCTCATCATTCCTGTTCTAGGAAGTGTTTTTGACCTTTGTAAATTATGTTATTTACCTTCTTAAGAGCCCATTAAAATGAACAGTACAATACTACTTTGATATTACAAGAATTTACAAGTTACAAAAATTCCCATTCTAATGGTCACTTATAATATCTAAACATGGTTACGTACATAACTGTAAGTTTGTCTTATAATTTCTAATATGCATAAAGCAATTTGGCATTAAGATTTGAATAATAATGTGGGTACGGTAGTTCTTGTATTTCTTCTTTTGTAGAGTGGTTATCATACAGGTATGAAAATAATGAAGAATAATGCAACATTCTCATCTTCAGCAGCATCATCTGAAACAAAGAGTTAAGAGATTGTCATAAACTTACATAATCTTTTATATTCACACCTGACTGCTGATTATGAGCCATTCTTTACAAGCAAAAGTTCTGTCCATTATTTGCTGTGTGATACACCCAGGCTCTTTTACAGTGAGGACCAGGAGCTATTTTCCTGGTGTTTAAGCAGATGAAACATGAGACTTCATTCATATCTGGTGTGGAGGTGTAGAGTAGCTTTACCTTCATGCCTTTTGTACACCTGCATGAATGCGAATAATTTACTTTTAGCTTTTGACAGTATTACATGAAGAGAGTAATGTATTTTAATGGTATTTTGTATTGTTTGAACCAGAAACGGGAACCCAGCACAAATGAATATGACAGTCCAAGTGCACTGGTACGACCCGTGATGACACAGAGCTTGTATCGCTGTTCAAGTCCAAATCAGGATGTTATAACAAGCACCAGCAGTGTGTTGCCTCTAGCAGAGGAGGTTGTTAGGCGTACAGATCAAGTCACAAAGCGCATTCAGGAATTGTGGGCTTCCATGCAGGACCTGGAAGGACGAGACAGTTTTGTCCCTTGTGCAGAGAGAATCACAGTTGCAGTTGCAGAACTCACTGCCATTTTTCCACAGGTAAGATGTTCATCAGCCAAATGCTCAATAAATTCTACATGTCATGACGGATCGGTGCCCAAAATTCTCGCTGTGGCTGCTGATGCCTGTAGTCTCTTTAGTATTGTTTGTAAATGGTTATGAATTTTAAAATCTTCAGCTTGTGGTCTCAGTCCCATTATTCAGGTTACATCAACAGAAAAGCATTGAATGTTCTGATTAATATAAGTAGTGATTTTGAATCAGTCATAGCAAATCTACACCTGAATTATAGATGCTCCTCTTTTGATGGGTTATTACACACTCTTTGCTCCAAGCACATCATGAGCAATTACTCGTATTAGGAAGTTAAATCCCACTGAAGTTTATTACAGACCACACTTCAGCAAATAGCTAGCACTTATCTTGGAAGAAGTAACTATTCAAAGATAACTTCCAACCTGGCTACTTTTATTAGCCAGTAACGAATCAACAGTAAGTTAGAACAGTTTATAAGATAAGAGGATAGATGATGGCATTAAACTGTTACTGAATGATGCCTCATATTTCGTAAAATATGAATAATAGGAAGCAGATACAGATGCTAGTCACTGCTTGTGACTAGAACAAGGAACGCACTGTGGCAGACTTGCTTTGCAGTTGCATGGGAAGAGTTATACCCAATGATCTTTTTGTAAAGAGGAAAAGTAGATTTGGAAAGTGCCTCTGCTGTACCATCACAATAAAAAACACTGGTTATGCCTCTAGGAGCCAAGTCTCAAAGCAGTCAGTCTAATGCTTTAGGGTTCCAAATGAACTTGAGAGCATCTGTCTGTCTGTCTGTCCTGAGATTCAGCTGTATGAATTGATATTGTGGCATACAGAGCCATTTCTAGGCAATGACCACAAATGAAACAACCATAAAACAGCTGTTGCTATGTAGGAGCCAGCATGCCAATGAACAGGCTGGAAAGCAGTGTTTTGTGCGCTCCACACCAATGACTACATGGAACAATGGATACAGCAACAGGAACTGCATTTTCTGTGTTGTCCGTGCTTAGGTGTTATAAGCAGGACAATTAGTGAGTGCAGTGCAGTGGAGTGGGATGGGGTGGTTGGCAAGTTAGTAGAGTTGAGTTGAGTGAAGTGAAGAGCGAATTGGTCGAAGAGGGAGGGAGGACTGAAGTCCATGTGAGCCACTGGTGTTAGAAAGTGGTAGCTAAAGTTTGGGAACCCACTGTAAGTGGAACATCTGCAATTGGAAGTTGTTACCAGGAAACAAATGGTGAAGACACAGCAGACTGAAAAGACTTAGTGCATGCTGTAGTGAATTGTAGAGTGTGTGAATTAGCAGTAGCACTATAGCTTTTTTTTTAATTCGCTTAGTGGGGAATGGAGTCCAACTGGGTCCACTTGGCACGGCGGCCATTGATTGGCCTGTTGTAGCCTGCCCTGGGTGATTATGATGATGGAGAATTTGGTGGAATGAAGATTGGCAGGGGAAACCGAAGTACTCGGAGAAAACCCACCTCAGCACCACTTTGTCCACCACAAATCCCACTTGACCAAACCCGGGCCACCGTGGTGGGAAGCCAGCGACTAACCACTTGAGCTATGGCATGGCCTAGCACCATAGTTACTTGTAGTTACAATCTGTAAGCGGTCAATAAATCCAATTACCAATGGCCGTCTATAGTCACCCATACTCATAACGTCATAACAATGTATTAGTCACTAACCAACTAATTTTTATGACACGTAAGTATATAAAATACCATACCTCATCTTTTACAGTTTTAGGCTTTGTTGGTGTGTTATGGATATTGGAGAAGAGAATCTATATTTTATAGAGGCTTTTCCAAGTGCCTTCTTCATGAGCAACACAAATATGTTTTCTAAATACTTATTTTGTGGTTTTGTTTATTTCTTAGAATCCTCGGGATGAGACTATTCGCAGTGCTTTACGCCAAATGAACAATAATACACTGCGTTTGCAGTTGGAATGTGCTGATTTGCAGAGATGTGCAGGAAGTGGAACACAGGTTTCTGAGCAGACATATTTCCTGCAGCAGGTCCGCTCATGTGCTTATGACATTGCGAAGGCAACAAAGCAGCTTGTAACAAAGTTTCAATACCAGTAAAATCAGTATTCAGATATTACTACATTGACCATTAACCCATCAGCTTTATTTTGCCATCATTCCAACAGACTGTCTATAATAGCACTATTTTAATCCATTCATCACTCAAACTGAAGTTAAAGACTTTTTGTCTTATCGTTTAGAGAACTGTTTCTCCAATATTTTCTGTTTCACAGACCAGTGAAACAGTAGTGATATTTCCAAGAATGGATACTCTGTATGTTTCACATCGTTCAGTATAAATGATGCTCACAGTTCTAAATTAGCATTTGCACTTCTCACTGTCACTGTGCAATTTCGTCGATGTATTAAAATTTAAACTTAAAAAGCATTCATCTCTTCCTGTTGTTCAAAGACTGCATTTTTCAGGCCAACTGATCATCATCAGGTGTACAGGCTATAGAGGAAACTGCTATCCCATTGTCATGTTGCTACACTTCGGATTTTAAAGGCATAAATTACTTATAAAATATTTAAAAATTATTTTTAAAGCCTGCAGAACAGCTACAAACAGCACCAAAGAAAAACTCAACACACCAACAAAATATACACCAGACCCACAACACGTGTATACAACAAAATAATCACGACATACTATTTTAAAAATAATTTTAAAATGTTTTATAAGTATTTTCACCTTTTAAAATACAAAGTGTAGTAGCATTACATCAGGGCATTAGTTTCCTCTCTATAACATGTACACCTGATGGCCAGTTGGACCAAAACATGTAATGTTTGAATAATAGGAAGAGATTAATTTCTTTTTTAATATATTGACGAAGTTTCAAAGGGACAGTGAGAAGTATGAATGATAATTTAGAATACACAGGGCAACAGGATGCTGCAATACTCACAATGTTGTTATTACTAGCATGTCTGAACAGAATTAAATGAATTATAGAGGAGACAGGAACAAACAGAAGTGTTGGACATAAACTATATAAATTTTAAGGAAAATAACGAGCACCTTTGTTATGCATTAAAACAAAGATACATGAATGAAAAATTATATGATTAACAGCACTGAGATATGTTCTGTCACTTTTCTACACAATCTCTAGAATGATCCCCACATTTGTATCAATGCCACACAAGCTTCAAAATTCCAGTGTGGTAGAAGTGGAAGTCTGTTATTTTGTGATGATGTTAATATCAAGACTATAGTGTTGATCCAGTGTTGTAAATCATCCCATAGCAGTTATATTGTTGACTTCTCATTTGATCTTTCAAGGACCCCAAACAGATGGTAATATAAGTGGGCCAAGTTCAGATGGGGGAGGACTTGCAATTTCTTCCATGACCATATCGGTATAATGAGCTACATTCACCTACAAGCTGAAAGTGTTCCTTTTGGACAGTAAATCAACTTTGCTGGCTGTGGGCACTGTTCACATCTTCTTTCTTGGAGACATGGTGTGATTCCACTCCACATTTCAATTGTGGGCCATAATGGTTAAATTAATTTTCTTGATCAGTCGCAGTGCTGAACAAGAAGTCTTAGCCCTTAGCAGCATGTCAAATGAAGCAACTGTAACGATACATCTTTACTCATGTTTTTGTATTCATTCATAAGCAAGCAGGGAACAGACATTTCAATATCTCACGTTTGCTGACATCTCTATGACATAGCGTCTTGCTGCCATGCTGTCCTCTGATTTCCCTAACTGCTGCCCTTCAGTCTACTTTGATGAACACAACAGCTCTCAGCTTATTGAGTTCAGATGCTGTAGTTCTTGGCTAAACACAGCATGACATCGTTGATGTTGATGTTTCACCCGTATTCTGACTGCTGGTGTTCATACAGCATCTCCATGCGCTTCATGGAGAGGCCCATTGATGTCTGCATCTGGATGTTCTCTTTTACAATGAATCACTGCACACGGGCAGATAACATGTTACTGACAGCCTTTTATCACATCTGATTGTGAGGATGCTAGTTGTGCAGTGCTAGACCTGTTTTCGTATGGGGAAGGATAGACGTCACTACTGGTCTTATACACTATGGAGTTTTCAGCATGACTGCATGTAATCCAACTGTGCTTGTGACTCTCCACACTGAGTGACAGTGACAATCCACATATTTAGTTGCCGTAAGGAAACAAAATAGAAAAATACTGCCAATTATAAAATAGTGCTTTTTCCAGCTCATATGAAAAAATGTGGGAGAATCTAATTAGATACTAAATGTGAACATGCACAGGATGTCCCAGAAATAACTACAGAAAATTGGAGGGTGAGTACTATCACCCAATGGAACAAAAATAGTTTGTATAAGCATTGGTCTGGAAATGCTTCTTCATTAACAAACTAGAGCCATTTCAAGGTCTTCCTGCAACAGTAGGATTAGAACTGTAGTTACAAAAGCAGTGTATGCTGGGAACACTTTTGAAAGAAACTGGAATTTAGCGTCCAGTGATTGAGGCTAGCTCTTTCTAACGGACCCAACTGAATAGGTGTTTTCCTTCACCTGAGGACGGAAACAGATCCAGTTTCCGAAACGTCGTGTTTTTATTTGTTATCTTAAAAAAACCAGGACGATGGATAAAGTCCAAAAACCCAACATATCAGACTGTATATTGTGTCTGCTTTGTTGATGACTATGTGATATAGACCAAGATGAAGATGCTGCCTAAATTACATGAATTATTATAGAAGAGTATACCAAGTGGGACTTAGAGATAAATTTGGTAAAAACAATATTTTGCCTAGGCAGTTCATGTGTAGAAGATCCAGAAATTTAAGGACAAAAAATTGAAGAATATTCCAGCCTTAAGTATTCAAGGTCTTGGCTTCAGTAAGACAGGCACAAGCCATGAGGGTGTATGTAGCTAAAGTGGGAAGTAACAAGCTACTACTTTAACACTACACTGAGTTACAGGATCGATATATAACTACAGAACAATGAATGTTTTGTGTATTATTGAATTTGTAAGAACATGGATTAGCGTGAAGGACAATAAATAGACATACACAAGAAATTATTAATATCAGAAGTAGGCTTTTGGAGGAGATGTGTATGGAAAACACTTCAGGATAAGTTCCAGAATGAGTGAGTAGAGAAGAGGTTGAAGAAAGCAAAAATACGAGTAATAAGAGATGAGAGAGATAAGAAGACTGATATGATATGGACTTGCTCATCAGATGGAAGATTTCCACTTACCATACGAAGCATTGGAATGGAGTCCAGCAGGGCACTGGAGAAGGGGTAGTCCATGACATCTGGAATGAAAATATAGCAAAACTAATGAGGGAGCAATGCATATCTGAGGAAGGTGAAGAAAATTTTGAGATGGAAACTTAACATGAGGAATGCTTAGAAAGAAAATTCTTGAAGGAGCAGAAGAAGAAGAAGAGGAAATGATGATGATGAAACATATATGACTAACAAAACTAACTGTGGCAGTAGAATCCATAGTTTCAACACTGCTCATGCCAATGTCTGCCATTGGAAACAGGCCTTAGCAATTTTATCCACCTCCCATCCTTATAACCTGTTACTCCAAAATCCATCTTAATGTTATCATGCATATTCTTTGTAGTCTTCCAAGTTACCATTGTATATATAACACTAACTTAAATCTGTGGACCATCTTAAATGAAGATGTTACCTGGCACCTGTTGACATACACCAACTGGGAAATCCCCACTTTACAATTTCTTGTTGTGCCAAGTTGTATGACTTTTGTCCCAAACAGCAGCAAACAGAATGAGAAAATAGGCTTTTTTTTGCACACAAAGATAAATTCATGTGGATTAAAGAAGGCACAAGGTTTGTCGTCACATGGGAAGGAGGTGTGTTAGAAACATCTTCATCAAGAAGCAAGAGGGTGAAGTCAACACATAATTACTAAATCTTTTACACTGTGTTAATGCAGAGAAATCTGCACGTGCAAGATTCAGTGATAAAGGTTGAAGCTTATTTCAAGCAGAGAAATTGTTCTTGTTTAGTTCCAAGAGAAGGCTGCATCATTTACAGTGGAATCCTCATTTTAATGTTTGTTGATGAACAGCATCATTACAAATGAAGTCTAATCTAACAAAATAATAATGCTTATTAAGTTATTTAATATCTTGATTGAAAAGTTCATATTATTCAGCTTGTCAGAAAAAGGCCATGTTTTTTATGGAATCAGAAGGTTCATTATCATATTCACAAGAGTCCTTTAGTGGACTGTATCCTTAGCTAGTTGAATCCAGTCCACACATTCATGTGCCTCTTGCTTTATATCTGTTTCATTATTATCCTTCAATCTGTGCCTAGATCTCTGATCTCCCACTGAGAGGAGTCTTGACCAAAAATTTATATGCATTTTTCATTTCCTGTGTGTTACTTGTTCTTCTGCATCTCACCCTGATTTGATCACCCAAGTGATATGAGATGAGCACAAATTGTGAAGTTCTTCATTATGTTTCCCCATCTCCTATACTTCCTTCTCCATAGGTTCAGATATTCTCAGCATTTTGTTCTAATATCATTGGTGTTTCTGCAGAAATTACCAATAGTAGCAATGGAAACAGGAACTTCTGATGTCATACTTAAATTTGTGTGTTCAGAGTGGCTTCCAGTGGTATTTCTGATAGCACTAAATGATATAGGTACTCATTCCAAACTTTTTGCAAGATTTCTTATTTATTCATGCAGTTTCTTCAAATTTGATATTTCAGCTCATCAGTCCTAGAACAAGGATGGGACATATATGTGATCTTTAAATTAACCCTGTAGCAAAAAGTATTGTGTGTCAGATCAGAGATGTAGAACACCATGGTCTAGGGCTTCCACATTCAATCCATTACCCATGAACTGTGTTGATATCCCGCCTCTTGCAGTATTTGTTCAACTATATCACTTGCCAACTGACAAAACTATTTTTGTTACTGTTTCAGTTTATACAGATATCACTTCTTTAGGGCTATTAGTCTAATCAAAATAAAGTTTTAAAGGTTTATTTTAACTATAATAACTGTAAAATTTTCCTTTATTTAGTGTTCTGCTGTCCCAGCTGCATTAGTATAGTGTAAAGGTTTTCCTCAGTTTAGTGTCAGTATTTATTTCACCCAAGAGAAAGTTGAAATGTTTTGCTTTGTTTGTTTTAATTTAATTAATGCTTGATGTTCAACTCTCATGATGGGATTTCCCTTTGAAGTTAATTAAATTAAATTAGACAAATTATGCGTCCTTTCATGTTGGCCATAAAATGTTATAGGATCTGCATCTTCCAAAAAGAAGTGCTGCATTTAATATAAAATGGAGCTCTGTTTTAAAGATCATGTAGGATGAAGTTGTGTTGCATTGCTTTTTAGCAGCATATCATGTAGAGAATGATGCTTAATATTTAGAGAGAATTTTGTAATAACTTTAATTTAAATTAAACTTAAAAAAATAGTTCTTTGTTAATGAACTGTAAATAAAATACAGCAGGAATCATTGTTATGTTTGCTGGTTCTAGCATATCATGTATGAGAATCTCCTTGTTAAAAGTCTTGTATACACTATATATACTACTAAAATTAAGTTGATACAAAACATGTGCAGTAAAGCTTTTTGACTTAAGTTATCATCATCTCAGGTAATCTCACTTAGCACTGTGTTGTTCCCTGTTATATCTTCTATTATTTATGTACATATTAAATATATTATAGATATAATATAGTAAATTAATCTTATGGATAATTTTGACACTTTTTAAACACTTCTTACTACAAGACTGATATACACACTTTCATTCTTGTCTTTGTTATGTTAAATACAGTGAATTGTGGTGTGTTTCTATCACTAATCTGCTATGCACTTCAACTGTACATAGTAATTTGACAAGCTGAGTAGAGTTCTTGGTGATGACAGTTTTAATCTAAATGCATGACAGATGTATTTTGTATAAACTTAATTTTATTGGTATATATGATACAATAAGCCCTCATTTAATGACATAGTTGTGTTCATGTAAACCATGGCATTAAGTGGAAATGGAAGTAAGGCTGATTATCTGTGCAAGTTTTACTGCAACACATGCAGTATCACTAGTAAAATCTGAACAATGAAGTAATAACATGACATTGTATGCAGCCTTGGTATCAAAACAGTAACAACATTAACTGAGACAATGCTAAATGAGGATTTACTATATATATGTAAATTTTAACACAAAGTTGAATGACTGTGACAAATGCATAGTAAAAGTAATTCTGAACTCTTGCCTGCTCAAACAAGTAAATATCAGTATTCTATTTTATGTTTGCTGATTCATTAATTACATAGCATAAACATTTCGAAAAGTGTATGTGCCAATTCTTTGAGGCTATGGACTGTGCCAGTTATCATCTGATTCTTCCCATAATTTGCAGTTTATGTCAGATCTAATTCTAAAAGTATGTTTATAATGAACTTGTTATATTTTAAGAAATCTTGTTTATATCATTGTCACTGTATGGCATAAATTTCAGTAATTTGTTATGTATGTAAAAAACGTTGTAAATTTTAAGGTTAATTAAAAATTTAGGTGCCCTATGAATAGAAAGGTATTTGTTCCCAATGTGTATGTATATATATATATATATATATATATATCAGTTTTCATGTTTAAGTTTGAACAGAACAGCCTAAAACAATTATAACTGCAAGAAACGTTAATTTGTATTCATTTGTTAATTCTAAGGAATGCTGTTATTAAATGTAATTCAGTGAAGTGTCTCTGCAGTCATACACTAAGTGCCTATATTATGCTGAACTTTTGACCCTTCAGGGCAGGATCATTTTTACTCTACATATTTTACCTTATGTGGGCAGAGCCAAGTTCATATCTAATGTCAGAGAGAGAGAAACTGTTATATAAGAATACAGCAAAATTGGTATTTAATCTGACAGCCTGGACTGTCATCTGTTTTCATATAAATTCTGTGCATGTTAAGAAATGGAAACAAGAATTCCACAGAATTGACTGCAAAATGTATGTAGAACCTTTTCGTCTATCACAGACCAAACATGTCTGGTCAAGTAGAGTATATCTCTCCCCACTGAAGGGTGAAACCATGCATAGTAAGATTTAGTAATAAATATTGATGGCCTTAAAGATGAACTGAAGTATCAGTAACTTCCCCATAAATTAAGATAGGTTCTAAGAAACAGAGCTTTACTGCCATTGTTTACCACATTCTGGGTTAGTTTACTGTAACTGCTTCAAGACAGACTTAGATGTTGTAACCATTTAGTTTTCTGTCATATTTACCAAAATTTAAGATTTTTTCATAAATGATTATGAGTTTTTATTTTTCATAAATTATTGCAAAAGCCCAAGGTAATTACATGTACCAAGAAAATATCCCAATTGGAATAAATCAGTGATTCATTACTTTACTACTAATGGTTTTATGTCTGATAGTGGAGTAATGTTGCAAACAGCAACAGCAGGCAGGTTGATACTAGTGATTTAGCTGTGTGCCTCTGTTCATATGTCAGCTAAATTATCATGT